GTTGAAAACATACATACGTATGTGAAAGTAAAAATATTTTAAAATCTACTAATAGTGCTTTGATTTCGATGAAACTTCTCTTGTTTTTTAGGCAATTTAAATAACTTTGAAACATCTTATCACAACATCCCCCAAAAAATGTATACTTTTTGAGTTATTCGGAATTTAATTGTACCATCCCTCGTAACTTTTTTCCAGCTTCTCTTTGCTGAAGTATGTTATATAGATAAATTTTAAGGGTGTCAAGAAAATGACTTTAGCGAATTTTCATTGAAATCGGCGCATTCGTTAAGGCGCAACAGTCTATAGCAACGCAGGTTTTCCTGCATTTTCATTTTTTTTTTTTCTCCTTTATTAACTTATCAAATTCATTCAAAAATTATATTTAGCATTTTTTCCTAACTCTGAATAATGTGAAATGATTAACTTTTTAAAATAAACCATATTAAAGGTACTTTAGAGGAAGACGTATATGAACATTGGGCATTTAAGCCCTGTAAAGTGACATCAATAGGGATAAGACCTAATTTATATTAAAGACCGCTTAATTATACAATGATACACCGAGTTTAATCAAAATTGTTAGAGCCGTTTTGGAGGAAATTGTGAAAATGTGTTTCAGCGTTGATATAAAGTGGCACTTCCGGTCAGCCGATTTTAAGGAAAAGTTGCTGTCACATCTAAGGCATATACCTATCTTAAATACGTGATATCAGTTTCATAGGACTTTTCGTTTTTTAGCTATACTGCTAACATACAAACACATAGACACACAGACCATTTTTCGGGACTTGGTCATTTCGACTCAGGGTACCTCAAAATGTGTATTTCCGTTGAAGACTCAGATTCAAAAATTCTCTCGATCGCAATACTTACCCTTACTATACATTACATATATACATATGTAAGTACATATGTAAGTGAAAGTCAAAAAATCTATATACAAAACACTTGAAACCATGCCAAGATTATTAAAACTATGTACAGTGGTAAAACATAAGCATTCACTTTAAAAAAAAAATACATTGCATTCTTCTTAGTAATAAACTCTGTGTTTCTGCAGGAGAAAAAAAGAAGACGAATCTGATAGTAAGTATTTGAGTGATTTTAGGTTTCTTTATGTAAAATAATAAAACCGATTTTAATAATTTCTAGCAAAATTTTAAGGTCCATTTAGACATTTCACAAAGTATGGGAAACACAAATATTTAAATTGTTTTTTCCCTACGCCAGTGTTTTTTTTTCTTTATTGATGTTTTCCATCTGTTCTCTGTAACAAGAGAAATAAAAAGAAAATTGGACTTCGTGCTAATTTCGCTATTAGTTAATTTAGATAATTGTGTTTACCATAGTTTGTGAAATGTCTAAACGCACCTTTACATCCAAGTTCGATGTTGATTCAATACTATGAGTCGGGTTGGTGTTGATCAATATTAACCACTAACTAATGTTTGTTTGTTTCTTGGATTCAATTAGCTTACCTACTCCTAGAAGGGCAGAAGGGCACCATATACTAAAGTTACCATTTTAGTGAGAGTGATAATTGAAGCTTAATTACTTGGGTCCAACACTATTATACAGAAAAGATAAAATCAGCTGCTTTCAAGCATTTTTAACTGATAAGAGATGGCACAGTCAGTGGATCACCGATTTTAACCTAATTTCTTTTGGTGATTCCACAACGAAAAATATTAGACACACGTCTAGGCGTTCGTTCCAATACAATTTAAAAACCGAGAAAAAAAACAATTTTACATATTTTTAAAAAGTATTATGGTATTTTTGTTTACCTTTGCTTTGAATTATTGTATATCAATCGACATCGTTTTTGATGCGGAATAGAAACAAATATTTTCTATAGCAATAAACGAGTCATTTCTGAAAAGGGAAATGGAAAAAAATATATATATAAAAAAAATTTCTACTTGTAAACAAATATGTAGAAGTGCGTATGAATGAGCAGAGAAGACAAAAGAGTGGGGGATAGGCGGCAAAATGTTTGGCACTACGCATCTCTCTCCCCCTCTACCAATCCTCAAACCTATGTTAGAGTCTACCTCTATTTTACCAGAGGGAAACGAAATTGATATTCGTTTTGGTACTAGTTCATAAGAGTTCCGCACGGATTACGCGTGGTTCACAATCACTACGATCACACTTGTTCATGGAATCCCGAAAACAGCCGAATGTTGTCGTCTTTTATGACGTCAGCTATTGTCCCTCTTAATGCATTTTTGAAAGAAAAAAAAAGTATTCCCTTCGTGGAACTTCCTTATTAAAAATGTATTAACAAATTGTGTATTTATTAATTAGTTAATTATTAATTTGCATTATAACGGTCATTACTGTGAAAGAAAAAGAAAACATATATAAAATAATGTTTGAGTCTTTCTTCAAGGCCTGTAAAAATAAAATACTTTTACAAATAAAATTTTTATTTATACGTGCTTACATGTAGTGGCTATAAATACTATAAATATACTGTTGTATATTATCTATTATAAATTGTATAAAAGAGTTTTTTATCATTTGGATAATAAATAATCCGAATGGCGATTATTGTAGTCATTCGTAAAATAAAAAAAATAAAAAAATCGTGTTTCTTTTCGAGCATGGAATTAACGTATTGAGGAAAGAACTGAAGAAGAATATCTGATAATTCCGAGATAATGAATAATGGAAATCATAAATAAGAAAAATATTGAGAAATAGCATTCAGAGATGTAATAATTAAATGTTTTTATCTATTAATATTCTTTTTTCACATATATATAATATATGTGCATGTTCGATTCAGGTTTCATAATTTGTAGTCTAAATTTCGAATTTAAGTCAATACTTTAAATAACGTTAATATAACTGAACATGGTTAAGGTTATAGAAGTACTTAAATGGCGGGAAAGTTAATCGTAACAATTTCAAGAGATCGGTCGCCTTCGTTATCTGTCGGATAAACCCGAAGGCATTCGGGATTCCATGAACAAGTGTGACCGAAGTGATTGTGAACCATGCGTAATCCGTGCGGAATTCTTGTGAACTAGTACCTTCGTTTTTAGCAACTCAAAAAATTCTCATATCCGAATTTTTACAGTAACATTTCTGTTTACTATTTTTAACCAAATTATTTGTTTAGTTAAAAACAAAATTGAATACTTAAAAGTTGACCGTTGTATTATTAAGGATGGAGATGGTCGGGGGTGTCGTTCATAAATATACTAAATAGTAGCAAGACTATTTTATTAAAAACCCATGTTTCGACCCGACTTTGCAGGCCATCTTCAGAGATGTGTGTTCAGCAAGGAGTTTTACTTAGAACTGGCTCCTCAGTTATTTAGTCTATTTATGACCTACACCCCGTAACATTTTCTTCCTTGTTAAAAACAAAATGTTGTTTTGTTTTTTTGTATGCGTGTTATTTTATTTATAAATAAATAATATATAAGGTTTTTTTTTCATTTACAAATATAAAAACATTTTTTATTTTGTCTTTTTTTTATTATTACTATTCTTTTTTTTTTATGCTATCATTCATTCTCCTTAACATCATATTTGCTGAATACCGAGGTGGATGGCAAATTTATTGTAAGCCAGGAATATGTATAACTAATAAATAAAAAGAAACAAATATAAAAATCTATTTACTTCTATATACTTTACTACACTGAAGCATCTCGATCCGTTGTCGTTGCTCACTCCAGCCTATTGTATATATAAAACCAACAAAAGGGAGAAAAGGCTAAATAATCCTGGGCTGGTTGGGAACGGCAATAAGAGGTAAAAAAAAAAAAAAGAAAACTGAAAAAGAAGAGAGAGAAAAATCTAAGTCTACAGGGCTGGAAAAACCTAATATAAACACGATTATTGACTTAGTCGGTGAAAATTGGAAAATTTCCCGCAGGAAATTCAGTTATCGTCGGAAGAAGGGTCCGACTTCCAACGGCCCAATCGCTCCGCCATAAATTGGTGATTGGTTGCTGATAAAGCCGAGAAATATGTTTTCAATAGAAACTTGCAATTGTGTCTTCGGAGGCAGAGATAGCCGTTGCTCTAGCTGGTGGCGAATTATTGCTAGTTAAGATTAGACCTAACTTGCTATCTGTTATATAGTCTATGAGGCAATATATATACCTCGCAATAATAGATCCTAGATAATCCAAGCCCGGATTAAATATTCTCAAATCTATTTTATTTTTCTGAATTCGCAACAACAAACATCGTTTTCCTTCTACTTGAAAACAAAATGAAGATATGTCAGCAAATACACACGAGGACTATCCACCAAAACTGGTACATATGCATATCAAGTATAATTTATTGATTCGATTAACTGATGAAATTATCAGGAATTGCTCTCATATCCATCTCGAAGTTTATCCACTGCTATTGCTTACGCTTGCGATTGATTAATGTATTTTACTACTTTAACTGTATTTTGTGAACTTTTTTGTACAATAAAAAATTATTTATTTTAATTATTATCATTGTGTTGTTTGCTCTGTGTATATTTAATATTTTAAGCATTCTTATCTCATCTTATAGTCAGAAATACATCAGCACAGCAGGTTTTACATTGTACAAATCCGATTTCGAGGCTTGGTGAAATAATATATGTGGGGGATTCCTTAGATATAAAATTTCATTAAAAACATTGGAATAAACTTTTGATATATATTTTAGAATATATTGGGAGCGGAGTAGCTCAGTGAGTTAGACATTGAGTCGCTAAGCTCTTGGTCCCAGGTTCGAGTCCGACTGAAGACAGGTAATTTTCCATCAGAAAAATCTAGCGGTTGTTACCTCCCTGAACAACCGCTGGCCTTAAACAATACTACACAACATAGTACTGAATCCAAGAACCTTCATGTTTTGTAGTGGTACAGTTAATTTTTTTCTTTAAATATACAATTTAGATAATAAAGTAAATAATTATAAAATAAGTTATAATTAATGATCATGAAAATTAGTTATGGAATCGGCTTTACTTCAATTTTTAGTTCCAGTTGGTTTTCTTAACCTCAGGTCCAATACATTTACCTCCCAGACTAAACCTCTGCCTCCTGTAGGTTATCAGTGGAGCGGTGGCATTAGGGAGGAAGGCCGATCTAGGATGCCGCTGGGAGTATCCCAATTAGCCGAAATGAGGCATTCCCAGTCTTGCGGCTCTGTCTCTAACGCAGTCTTGTCCCGACTTATCTAGCGGCAAAAAGGGATTGTTCAGTAGATAACCTTCCCATCATCTTCTTCTACCCTTTTATAATACTATAAATCTATGAGCGTATATATTAATAATACATTGCCAATTAAAAAACGTTTGATTATTATTTCTGTTCACTAATACGAGGAATTTCGGTATTTCTGCAAAACGGCCTCGGAACCCCATCATTTTTTATAACCTTTATTATAATAAGAATTTTTTGAACTTAAAAATCGACTAGCGTAATCTTTCGCACTAGGAAAAAAATTATTTAATCAAACAAAGTCTGCCAAGTGAGGCCAGTATAGCTTACTCACCATTTTCACTGGTTCCACACTTAACTATATCTCAAGGTCATTCATTTTTCTATTGTGAATAAAATCTTTGGAAGAATCCATATTCGAAAAGTAATTTCAGTTATCGTACAACATTAGCGGATTTTATATCCTGTTTTGGTCATCAGCGAAAATAAAAATGCGAATAAGATCCACTTTTGCTAATTTAGTTCGTGATTACGAACTTAAACAATTACCATTACAGTATGCATGTACACATTGTATTTAATCTGTATGTTTTCAATCGTAAAGTATCTGGGGAAAAACCCATTTAAAAAGTCATTTATTCCTAGTAAACAAAACTGACATTTTCCAGCAGTCAGAACTAAACTAATTAAAGGTAGTATATTGGAATTATGACTGACGTTTACAAATTACGTCAAAAGAAGCCCTATCTTTTCTTAAAATGTATTGACATCTACTTCTTACTCTTTAACAATAACTAATTAAAAAACCTGAACTCTTATTATTTTAAGATGAAAGAGGAAAATAGAGACTATAAAAGCTTGGTTAAAATTCAACAGAAAGAAATGACCAATAGAAAACACAGTACAATTTAAATTTTTTTTAATTAATTCTAAATAATTCTAAAATTAACCTCATAAAAATATAATATAAATTTAACCTATCCGCTAAATGTTAAATGCCTTCTACATATCACAGTCAGCATATTTTTATAATTAATATTTAATTGCTGAATAGAGTTTAATGGAATCTATAGTAAGCAATTTATAGACTATTCTCCAAATTTCCTCCAACTCTGGATCAAATCGAACGAGCCGCTTTAAAACTATATACGATTCGTTTTGAGATCCGAAGGCGGAAGTATTTTTTTAAAGTATTGGATAGAATTTAAAGGAAATGATTCCTACTTGATCATTTATTTATCAATCCCTTCTTTTCCAAAATTAGTACAAATCGAGCGAGCGGTTTTTAAGACATCATAACATCAAGGGAAATATATTTTCACATAAATAAAAAACATGGGAGCGCAATATACAACTTTTACTTACAGCTCTACTTTGAATAGAAATTATTTTCTGACAATGTTGGACTATTATAAAATTTTTAAAGTGCATTTAATTCTATCTAAATCTTAAAGCTAACAGATAACCATTAAAATTACAAAAAGTCTATTTATTATATCGACGGCAGGCAATAAAAATCTAGTTACTCCATCTGATTTTATAAACCACATAGCTTAACTCTGTGAGTTTCAGTTGACAGAACGACTAACTCCAATTTCAACATTTTAAGTAATGTTATTTTAGTGGTATTTCTAGTTGAAAAAGTTATATCTGTACAGTCAGTTAGTAAGTTGATTCTAGAGTAGGTGATTGCATTGTTGACATACAGAACTGTGCATAAAAGTATAAACTTTGCCAATAGAAACATCACTAAAATTAATAATAAAGAATACTGAAATTGGAGTTAGTCATTCTGTCAACCGAAAGGCTCATATATGCCTAGAGAGATTTGAAAATGCATCTGAATATTTAATCTATAAATGATTATGGTTTGTGGGACTATTATTATTAGTTATTAAACTGTAATTTTCCATTGTCAAGTTTACCAAGATGAAATTACGACATTTTCATTGCCTGTCATGGATAGGTCAAAAGTTGTCAAACTAATTGTAATGGAATAATGTTGGGGTTTCACAAAGGGAAAATTAATCAAATTATTCACTAATTTAATTTTATACCTTCTACCTTTCTTCCAACTATGAAATCAAACTAGTTTCTGAAATATTGGCTGAAAAATGTATTTTCTTAGATATACATTTGCGCGTGCGCAAAAGGAAGAAAAGTATGGAATTTAATAAAACAATCTTGATGAAAAATAAGATAATCCCATCTTGGCACCTATCCGCACAATTCCTAAAAAAAATCATGAAAATAGAATAAACGGTAGTTGGTGATATGCCCGCCATATCGATCTGACTACAGACACCGAACATTTCATCCTTGAAACGTAAAACCGGAGAGAGAATTTTCGATTCTGAAGATAAATTTTTTTTCCACCTCTATTTTATGGACTTATGGCTTTATGGTTTGGATTTATTTATTTTTTGGGTTTAAGCTATTTATTCATTTATAATAAAAATAAATAAATAAAAATCAATGTAACAGTAGATCTTGAAACATTGCTTTTCAACAAAGTACTGGACTTAAGATCGGTTCTAGTGAGGTTGTAGTGGTACATTTTTTTTTATTTATTTATTTTTTTTAACGTCCACAATATTCATATATGGTACGGTTGTATAGATTCTTTTTCCGACTTCCAGGAACGATGGAGTTTGGCAAACTATATGTATAATATAAAACGATGTTAATTAATTTTGAATATCCAGAAAGAATGAGAAAGTGTTTCAAGCATCACTCACTATGTCCTCTGAACTAAGCAGTTAAGTAAATCTTTCAATTGAAATAAAAACTAAAAATTTAAGAGGCCTATTTTTTAATGACTAATTATGTTTTAATCCTAAGAAAAATGATCCTTGTACAAGCAAGATTCCTTTTTAAAATTGTGTTTTCATCTGGATAATCCAAGCTCCCTTCTGTGTCTTTACCCTAAGGGATTTTTCCACCTTCTTATCTTTTCCACCTCTTAAGATTTTTTCATATCAAGCTACTTGTACGACGTTTCACTACTGGACTTTTATCTACACTTCTTTCCCGCCCTTAGAGTTTTTTCCTCCGTACTAAATTCCACCACTTATGTTTTTTAGAGTTTAGAAGGAACGCTTTGACGAAAGAAACTGTTGTAATGCAAGATCTTGGACCATGTCTTAATATTTTGTTTTTTGACAAGTCTATTTGTTTATATGTAGTATCATTATTGGTCCAATCCACTTCTGATATTTTTGTAATTCATTTTATACTTCTTTATTTAGGCGACCAGCCTCAAAAGCTAATATTTCATATATTTAAAAAATCCTATATATTATTTCTAAAATGTGTTTTTTTGTCGGTACGGCATAACTTCATCAAATCCAATGATTGACCACTCATTTTGAAGATATTCTTCTCCTTCACATGCAAAAAATATTCCCATCCCCCGAAATTTTCGTAAAAAAAGTTATGGAGGAATAGGAAACTTTATTTGTGAATAACTCAAAAAGAATGCAATTTTTTTTTCTGGATTGTACCCATGATAATTAGAAAAATCACTAAATTACCTACAAAACAAACAACAAATTTTAAAAATCTATTAGAAGTATGTAAAATTTAAACAATTTGTATTTACGGAAGGAGTAAAGTGTGTTGAAATACATTTTTAAGGAGGAAGAGAGATGAGATTTGTATTTCGCAGCTCGAAAGACTCTCGAATACGAATTTTCATTTCGATCGGAAAATAATAAAAAAAATTTCTATAAATTTGAACTAAGGCTTGTGATATTATTTCGAAAATCATTATAGTATTATAACTTCGATATTCTTCCACATATTCACAAGAAATTTTGCAGGGGTATAGGACATTATAAACTACACGAAAGACACAAACTGTACCTTCCTCAATAATTTAGAACTCAAGTTATAAAATAAAAACCCGTTAGGAGTTGTTATTTATTTACTATTTACAGACGTGTTAAAGGAAACAGTTATTCATACGGTCTTTAAGAGCGATAATTCAGCTTACGGTTGTAGAAACATTGAATTAGGATAAAATCCTGAGGAGTTGTGAATGTTTTAGTTAAAGGCAGGCATAAGATTACTAAATTACCTACAAAACAAAAAAAAATCGAAAAAATCGGACAATTATTAACAAATATACAGTCCATTAGTTTTGGTATACTTAATAATGTCTTCCTGTAACGTCTAATAGATGTTTTCCTGGCTGATATTTTAATTTTATTATTTCTTAAAGACATTTGGTTTTTCTTACAATGTATTTTTTTTTTAATAATTTAGAAAATCCCATGATCGGAGAATTATTTTCCCTTTCTTACTTTTATTTTATTTCCAGTCAGTCTTTAAAAATTGGTCCTAGCAAAGCAATTTGTACAAATATTTTGATATTTTATGCTTAATGGAATATTGTAATCGACCAATGATAAATATTAATTCCTTCCTTGCATAATACATACGAACTAATTATTTCCATATTTTTTTGCTATTTTTTCAGTAAACGAAATTTTCTGCGAATTATTCGCAAGGGCCAACTGGTATAATATAATGTTAGCCCCTTATTGAAGGACGCATATGAATTATATCTCTCTAATTAGAAGAAAAACACTAATTAATTTTATAGTGATATAGAAATACGTGTGGATGTTGCAGAAAGACTGAACGTGCTCTACCAGAAGAATTGGACCCGGCTGGTAGACCACGAGCTGCAGCAGTTGGAACTCCAAGTGGCTGGGGCAGTCCAAGCGGGGCTCGCCGAGCAAGACGTACACTGGTCATTCTTTGGTTCCCTTCTCTACTCCCTCAGCGTCATCACCACCATAGGTATGTGTATGTGGATACTTAGTATTGTCCTAACTAATACAAATACACAAAAAAATATTTGTTATTTTATTATAGTATTTGTGTTATTCTTGCCATACATTCCAAGCTGTAAAGTATCCTTAAAAAGTAAAGAAAAAGAAACATTTAAATTCAAATATTGCTCAAAATCCATAAAAAGCACGTAAGTATGATCTGAAACCGGTTTCTGTTGTACTTTATTATAAATTTTAATTACTGTACAGAGTTATGGTTGAAGTGATGTTAACAGCTAAGCACAGTTTACTGATCAAAAATAAGTCACTCTATCATCATTTAAACCAGAGGTCTCCAAATAAGAAATTCAATAAATCACTCAAACTGGAGGTTTCTACAACCTTTATTGCATGAATTGCTTCTCTTAGAAACGTCATTTCACAGCTGAATGGTAATTTAATTATCACATGGTCAGAGGCACGGGCGGATCTACGGGGGGAGGCTTTCGGGCTGAAGCCTCCCCCCCCCCTCCAAAAATGGCAAAATATAATAACCATGTTTATCGAAAAAAATATTAAAACATTATCTCTTAAACTATTATAGTTCGTGTAATTACATTTAAAAGGGCTTTAGGAATCACTTAAACACCATTTCATATAGGTAATTAGTTTCTTTCTTTTTTTCCAAAGTAATTATCATTATTTTTATGGAAAAAAAAGGTTTCGGGCTGAAGCTCCTCCCAAAATTAAATCTCGGATCCGCTAGTGGTCAAGGGGACTTAGTGTTGTTCACAATGTGGTCCGCGGGCCAAAATGTTTGGAGATCCTTGGTTTAAACGACAGTCAGATACAGCGGTGCCCCCCCCCCCCTCTTCGATGGCTCAAGAACCTATCCTTCTCTTCCAAGATATTTTATTACTCACCTTTTCTTAAAAATAAAGAGTAAGGGAAAGTAGAATTAGAAAAAATCGTAGCTCATCGGTCTGCTCCATGTTTCCTCCTTGTCACTAATTCTGAAACTTTTCATTTCGAAAATTTATAACCCGTTGAAATATATACCCTCAAAAATTCCAAAACTCGTCAAAATATGCCCCCTCAAATATTCTGAACCATAAAACCCCCTTCTGGCTACCCCTGGTCATGTAAGTGAAAGTGAAACAGAATTATCGTTTAACCGACAACGAATGTCGGTTAAACAATATCAGTGGCCAACGACAGTGGCCTTTCGTTTAAATGACGACGATAAAAATCGGGCATGTGTGAAAGCTTTCTATTACTCTCTGTCCCGAATGCATTGTACACGGGGTCGTTTACACGACTGCAAGGTGTGAAACAAACCTAAGGCTTACTTTCTTCAATAATCTATTTTATTTTATAGAAACAGCTCTAAAATATTATTAACGTTTAATACTTAAGTTGGTATTTTATTTTATAATACTGGTGTAATGATAGTTCAATAGACAATTACTAAATTATCATGTAATCTCAGACTTTCAGCTAGATATTTTAGTCCGTGGTACAGTCCCTATTTCATCACGTTATTAACACCCACCTGAAACTTCGTAAATAGTTTCGGCTAATCGTAACCTACAAATATTTTATTTACGAAAATTCTCGGAACTGGGGCGTTTTAAATTTGGAGATGATCCAACTTTGTTTATTTAATTAGGTACTAAAGTCTTGTAAATACCAATTTGATTTCCACTTGAATCGTAAGATAATTTGAGCACATACTCGAGAAAAAAGGTGGCCTTAAAAAATATTGAGCCGTTTGGCGGGACCTACACCCCCAAAATGTCAATATAACGAGGTTTTAAAGGCCAAACAGTCAAATATTTTTGTAGGCCATCTTTTTTCTCAATTTAGTGATCAAATTATCTTACGATTCAACTGGAAAGCAAGTGGTTATATACGAGTTTCTAGTGCCCTATTAAATAGACAAAGTTTGCTGACCTCCGGATGGAAAATGCCCCAATTCCAAGAGTTTTCGTGAGTGAAATAATTGTAGGTTACGATAAGATGAAACTATCCACGAAGTTTTCGGCGGGTGTTAATAATTTGATTAAAAGAAGTCTGTAGGACGGATTATTTATTACTTTTTTTTTAACAAAATAATAGTAGGTTATTTTTGAAAATTTAGGACTAACACCGAATTTAGCCATAAAAGATATTTTTCTCACACTGTCCGCCCATTTTCTTTTTTATTCCACAGTTCCTAGATTACGTGAGGTAGAAATAACTCATATTCACTTGAAATGGATGTACTTAATTCTTCAGGTCTTCTTACATCATTTTTTTTTTTCTTGTTTCTTATTTCTTCCTCCTATTCTGGGTCGTATCCGCATCCACATTTAGATGGTGTAAATATAGCCTTGTTTTTTTTTTAAGCTCAACATCTTTTCCAAGGCTATGCGACCTGGCAAAGAATAAGACTTCTTTGCCAGGTCGCATAAAGAAGTAGGTTGAACCCATTTCGCCGCGCGTCGAGACTGTGAGGACGTTAAGTCCTAGCAAGTTGTGCCTAGTTCATAAAGTTGTGGGTTGGATTCCCATCTAGGTCAATTAATCTTTATACCTCGGCGGTACCGAGAAATGAATCATGACATTCCCACTCTCATTAGAACGGGGCAGCAACATCTTGGTAGCCGTCAAGGTTTGGCAAATAGCGTTTAGGGTAGACCATAGAGCCACCAGCCGGACTAGTTCACCCACCACTATTATTACCAGTAGTCGTAAATGGATGATAAGAAAATACTACCTAAAAATGTCCCTTGCATAAAATCATTTCATTATAATAAAGGAGCTCTGACATATTTGCCAGTTTCTCAATATACTTATTACTCTTAGAATGGAAGATTCTTAATTACTTACTTTTAGGTTTCCCTTTAGAAGCTTCGACTCTCTGACTTTTATATGTTTCTTTGTCAGCATATTTTATTTATTCCTAAAAAGAATTTGGTATGTATTAATACATAATTTGATTCGCAGGATGCGGTAACCTTGGTCCCAAAACCACAGAAGGTAAACTGGCTACGATGGTCTATGCTTTGGTCGGCGTTCCTCTGATGTTAATCTGTTTTTCACATCTCGGATCCATCCTTGCTGAACTTATCCAATCAGCATATTCCTTTCTCTGCACATGTTCTGTGAGAAGGAAACCAAACGGTATGTATAAACTGCATGCTTACTTAATAATTTAATTTATAAATCTTCTGTTTTATCCAATATATGTTATTTGATTGGTAGAGGCCTACAATCAAGCGTACAAATCATCCTGATCCTTATTTAAGTTTGGCTTGAATAATCATATACACTAACTCAAATCGAACTTTACAGTCCATTCTTAGCTTAGCTGGTAAAAGTTGAGAATCACTTTCCTGATGGGAACAAATAACATACAGCTTCATACCATACAAAAGCTTCACAGACCCAAGTCTAAGAATCACAATTTAGTTCCATCCTCTGCGTTCCAATTTTAAACTAATCCATGGTGGACCGATTCCATTAAATCCTTGGAGCACTGTTTTGGTGAATAAAACAATTCTTTGAGAGCAAAGAACAACTCCGTACTTTTGAGTGCTATCAAGATCTAGATCAATCAGTCCTTGAATTTACAAAACCACTTGTTTTATTGAAAGTTGTTTCATGAACTCTCCGAGATAGTTTGCAACCTTCTGCTCTCATTCTCATTTTCTTTTTATGTTTAATCCAGATAATTTTGAAAAATAGAATTTGACCTTTTTTTCCATCGGTATTAAAAGTCATTATTCCTCATAGATGCTTTAATATTAGGAAATCACTACAGAAACAAATGTGGCTTTGTTAATTAAAAAAGAGAACTTTAACACCACCTACTCCACAAACTCACAAAACATCTTTATTCCTCCATCTTTGTATACAACAACTGGGCAGTGGTACCATATAAAAAGCATTAACTCAACATACTCAACTTTTACAATTTATCCCTTAAATCGTAAACTGCATTAAAATAAAAAAAATAAAATTTAAAGTAGGCAATGCAAACATTTACAAATTCAGAATTATAATCATTGTAGTACTTCCATAACACATAATAAGCACTACTTTATTTTATGTTTTGATAAGATGACTGGCTGAAAACATTCGGAAATATACTGCTCTTCTTAGCTGCAGCTTTTTTTTTTCCTTTCCAGTTTTTGAATTCGGTTCCTTTAGAGGACAATTAAGAATGATTCGCACTACCAGTTGCTACTTTTGTTGTGTTTATTTTATTATTTTTTTTTTCTTTCTTACCTCGCCTTTTAGGCGGAGTTTTCCAGGGCCGGGGGGAGGGGGAACGGGGAATTTAAAATCCCCTCCGGCACCGGGACGCAAACTCGGACTTTTTTAATCGCTCATAACTTCGGTTATCTGGTTGCCGAGCAACTCTCGGTGCTGTGCACACGCGTTAGCCCATTCGGTCAATCCGTTCCTTTCACCAGTTGTTACTTGAACTACAATCCGTTTCTGACCAAGAACTGGTTTTGAAGGGGAGCTTTGGCTGACGATAGACTTGATACTATCTCTTGAGATGTTTCTGGAAAGACTGTTTCGACCTGCCGGTGAGACAGACGGTTTCACTCTAAAGGGGTTGTACAAAGGATGGAATTATTGTTTTAACTGGTACTGATCCGGTCTTCTTGATAGTGCCATCATCAAGACGACTCCTTAGTAAACTGAATGTTCTATTGTAATGGGTCGAAGATATACCAGCAATGGCGAGACTCACTTGCACTAGAGTCAAAGCGCTGTAAAGGTCTCCCTCTCCTAGGTGTTCATCCATTAAACAGGTTCTCAAGCTTGATTGTCCTGTGCCTTAATTTCTACTCTGAGTAACAAATCTACTTCTTGCCTCTCTTTCACACCATCTCCATCGCTCCATGTTATATTCTTTCTTTTTAATGTCTCTAGGCATGATTCATCATTGGATCTAGGAATTTTCAATTGATGTAGCTAAAGTTGTAAACAATCTTCTCCACTGAGCTCTTTCTAATTTGGCAGTTTTTAATTCTTCAGCACTCATTATCCTTAATTGTCCCACAAGAGAAGCCACTATTTGATATTAGGAAATCACTTCAAGAGCAAATGAGGTTTTGTAAAAAAAAAAACTTTAACTCCACAAACTCACAAAACAAGTTTATTCCTCTACATAAACATCACACAATAACAGGGGTGTCCACAAAATGGTTTCATGGTACAAGTTGTGCCACCAAAATGTTTGATGGGATCACATTTTGAATTTTTGAGAGGGGGCATTTTTCGAAGGGAACACGAATTTTCAAAATGAAACGTTTCAAAACAGGAAAGCTGAGAACAGACCACTGAATGTGTCATTGCATATGACCTATTATTTTTAAAATTCTACTTTTTGTTGTTTTTAATAAGATGAGAACAATAAAATATCTTGGGAGAAGAAGAGGGAAGATTCAATATAAGTTTTCCTCCAACATCGACCTTGGGAGGGGGGAAGGTGGTCATTTCAGCACAGGGGTGCCCAGGAGGGAGTTTCATGGCCCAAGTTGCGCCATCAAAATTTTTGAGGGGGCATATTTTGACGGGTTTTTGAATTTTTGAAAGGAGCAAATTTGGGCGGAGTTTAAATTTTCGGAAAAATTGATGAGGAAAAAAATATGGAGCATACCGCAGCAAGTGTAATTGTATACTATCTACGATTTTTCTAATTCTACCTTAGTTTGCTCTGTTTTTAAGAAACGGTGACCAACAAAATATCTTGGGAGGAGGGGAGCCATCGACCTAGGGAGGGGGAGAGGATGGGCATTCCTGCCCCTGCCTATTAATGAACAAAGGACCATTACTCTGGGTAACCGAACCCAAGCCAACCTTCTTTGTTTACAACAGCTGTGTTACTACATAAAAAGCATCAACTCAACAGATACCTAGGTACAGGACATTTCAATTCAATATAAATAATTTCAATCAGCTGTTGTTTGGTAAAAAAAATAAGAAGAGATTTTGGAAATAAGTGTTTTTGTCAAATAAGCACTTTGATCTGATTAAGCTATTCTCGAACTGGATTTTAGTTTTAAATAAATTCCAACAAATCCCATCAATTCATCTTCAAATTTTGATTTTGAAAGTAACCTGTCCTTTGATATTATTTAATAATATCTCACTTATCACTGTTGAAAAGATCTGCTACATAGGAGAACCATCTGGACAAGCGTCATACTTGAAATTCTCACACATGACTAAAACTGCAAGACATTTTCGGCTATTTCAACTCTCACAAGACAAACGCTCTAAACTTCTAATTAACTGTAAAAGACTCATTTGCTTGACTATTACAAGATCTGTTCAGACTTATGAGTTTTGGGCTCCACTAAACCACCTCATTCCTATCGTATCCAATTCTTACAATCCAATATCCTTCGCAAAATCCTCGATACTCCTTTTTTTCCTTCGCAAATAAAAGTATCCACAATGAACTTAATGTTCCATACGTTACCAATTTAGCCCAACCCAGATATTAATCACTTTATTATAACTTTTAGGCCTATCCAAACTCAATAACCTTGCATCATCTTCGATTCCTGACAATCATTCTAGGCGTCTGAAAAAATATGACTTGTGGGCCTTCAAATAATTATTGAAGTTTTACCAATGGGTGGTTTCTCTATATGTCAATACATGTCATTGGAGCAATTCACATTTATTTGTTGTATTTTTAGTTGGTGCAGTTGTAAATTTCAATATACATATTTTTTTAAATTGTTTTCAATACATTTATGAATAAGTCGACATGCTCATTAAGATACTTTAACTTGACGAAATTCGTTCAGAGAGGCTGGAGCTGGAAGAGAGGCGGTCGATGCCTCGAGGCCTGGAGGTGGTCGGAGGCGGCTGCGGGCGGGCGGTCTGCAGGCTCACTTCGCTGGAGAGTGTCCTCGACTACCCCTCGCAGAAAGCCATGCAGCACGACTCAGATGACGAGGACTCGCCTATCAGGAGGTGAAGACCTTATCCAAGTGTAATCTTAATACTCTGTAGAGGAATATATTCAACATAATGTCATCTTACTTTTCACCTTTATGGTATTTGAAGCGGAAATAGGTTGCAGAGTGGTATCAGGGTGACTGGAAATTACCTGTAAACACCATTAATCACAATGCTCCTATTTTTCCTTGCGGGTGGTAATTTCTTTAGTGTAAAAACTGCACACCTGCATTTGCAAAAAAACTTCACAGTTTTGAGGAGGTAACGATCCATAAGAACACAAGGTTTATAATTTGAATAATAACAAATATAAAAAATATGTTAGAATAAACTTAATTTAAAATTTATTTAAAAAAAAAACAGTAATATTTATGATCCATTTATCATAAATAGAAAACAATTTTTTTTGTATCTGTTGGCTTTACAGACCTCGTAGATCTTTTGCCGCCTTTACAAGCCTACTCCATCTCTACCTGGCTATTTCTTAATAGAAAACGATATAAAAAATATTAAATGATTTTTTTTTTAAACTTCAAAATATCAATTTATTTTCAGCGACGTGTAAGTAAGTTATTAAGTATAGAGAAATAAGTTTCCTATAAAAGCTGAAATAAATTGTATGTACTTTTTTTTTTAATTTATTTAGAAATATAATAATCTATCACATGGAGAATAATTATAGTGATATATAGACACATTCACACCATATATACAGAAAATATAAAATTAACAAAAGTAAAATAATAACTAAATAATAATCAAAAACTCTATGTGCAATAAAAAATAAAATATAAAATAACCTATAGATAAGTAAATTAAAAACATAAAAACACAGTCATATCTATATTCAATATATACATATGTACTTTAGTATTTAATTTAAACATGTATGAGTTTTGTCACCTAGAAAAACATATAATTAGGCAGAAGAAAAAACTCGCAAGAAATATACACATATATATATATATATGCATATTTCTCATGAGTTTTTAAATAAATTCCCATTTGAAAAGTCAACAGTTTCCTTCCAATTTGGTTTAGAAAAAAAAAATGTTTCCTTCAAGAATGTTGGAAAATTTTAAGCTGTTTACGATTGAATATAGCCGTTTTCAACTAAATCTTTAAAAAGGAGATATTTAGCGTAAACCAAAGAAAAGTCATAAATTTAAATGTTTTTTTTTTTAGAACTGCTGCGATTCTACAATTTAATATCAAAAACTTTGATTTTTTATGCTTACTATAACAATATAAAAAAAATAGTGCTACCGATCTTTTGCAAGGAAATCCCTTTTTTGTGAAAATTTGACAACGCTATGAGCTAAATACTGAAACAATCACAATATGTACTCTTTTTTTATTATAACGCATACACATGTATGAAATATAATAGTCCGTGGCACAGGCCCATTTTTATCAAATTATTAACACTCCCCGAAAACTTCGTAAATAGCTTCATCTCATCGTTACCTACAAATATTTTATTTACGGGAATTCTCAGAATTGCGTTTTCTATCTAGAAATTGGCAAACGTCGTCTATTTAATTAGGTACTATAAGCTCATTAATACTTATTTGCTTTCCACTTGAACGTAAGAAATAATATTACAAAGTCGAAAAAAAAAATATGGCATACAAAAATATTGGTCCGTTTGGTGTAGCTCCAAAATGTTAAAATAACGAAGTTATACAGGCCAAACAGCCCAATATTTTTGTAGAGCACCTTTTTTTCTACTTTGTGATTATATTATCTTACGATTCAAGTGGAAAGTTTTTTCATGAGTTTTTAGTAATTAAATAGACAAAGTAAGATGGAATTTCCATAATTCCATCATAATTATAAACTTTATCTACAAAATAATTTGTTTTGGCAGACTAATCAAGAACAGTTTTTTTCGTTTACACCTACATATTTACAAGTCGAACACATGGTTCAAAAACTTGTAACAGTTGTTCTGTTGGAAATATAATTCTGGAAATAATTAATGTATTTTGTGAAAGTGCCTTCAGATGTAGTGAAAGAAAAAATGACGTTTTATCGCAACGCTATACTCCTCTCGCTGATCATCTGCCTTGACGCTTTACCACCTGTATGTGACCGAGATGTTTATTGTTATGGCGAAATATTGAGGGTGGTACAAATGGCTGAGTTGTACCCAGACTCTAAAACATTTGTCGATAAAAAGCTCAAACATAATATTGATCTGATCCGGAGAAATTTTGCTATTATGATGGAAACAACAAATAATAAACCATCCAGACGAGCTTTACAAGAATTTGTTGACAAAAATTTCGACCCAGCGGGTTCCGAATTCGAGGAATGGCACCCAAGTGATTGGAAAAAAACACCTCACTTTATAGACTTGATCGAGGATAATCAATATAGACATTGGGTAATATACCTCAACGAGCAGTGGAAGCAGCTGGGAAGAAATATCAAGGAGGATGTGGAGAAGAATCCGTATAGCTATTCGCAGATCTATGTTCCCTACCCGATGATAGTTCCAGGAGGAAGGTTCAGGGAGTACTACTATTGGGATTCCTATTGGACCATCAGGGGTCTCCTCCTTTGCGGCATGATCACCACTGCACAAGGTATGTTGTTTAATTTTGGCTCATTAGTTAAAGTTTTGGGCTTTATTCCTAACGGGGGTAGGGTCTATTATCTCAACCGATCTCAACCACCACTCTATATACCAATGTTCAAAACGTATTTCGACGCCACCAGGGATATCGATTTTTTAGAGTCACAGATCGAGAATCTCGAGAAAGAATACTTCTTTTGGATAGAAGAAAGAACTGTTGAAGTCGAAAAAAACGGAAGAACGTTTAAAATGGCTTTTTATAACACTGAAACAGATGGTCCTAGGCCTGAATCATATGAAGAAGATGTTCACGCAGCCGCAAATTTCAGTGGGGCCGAAGTTCAGGAATTTTTTAATGAGCTTAAATCAGCTGCAGAATCTGGTTTCGATTTTTCTTCCAAGTGGTTCGTGGACAAGTCTGGTGAGAGAGCTACCAGCTTCGATGACACTAAAACAAGGTACATTATTCCTGTCGAACTCAACTCATACTTATGTATGAATGCTAGGCTGTTGGCTGAAATGTTTGGGGAGTTGGGTATGGAAAATAAACGTCAAAAATACATTCAATTATACTATGAATGGGTGAGAAACGTTGAAGATTTGTTTTGGGATGAAGAAAAAGGGATATGGTTTGACTATGACAGGATCAATAATAAATCTAGACCCTACTTCTACCTCACCAATTTTGTTCCACTATGGGCCAAGTGTTATGACACCTCTAATAAGGACAAATATGCGGAATCGGCTATAAAGTACTTGAATAGTGAAGTTAAAAAATCAGTTTATATTGGTGGTCTTCCATTTTCAACAATGAATTCTGGAGAGCAATGGGATATGCCGAACTCCTGGCCACCTTTAGTGTACATGGTTGTGATAGGATTGATAAAAACTGGGAACCAGGAAGCAGCAGATGAAGCTTACTTTTGGGCAGATCGATGGATTAGAAGCTGCCATGCTGCATTTATGAGAACGAATAAAATGTTTGAAAAGTACTCAGCGGTTAATGTCGGAGTATACGGGGGTGGAGGAGAATACGGCGTTCAGGTCGGTTTTGGATGGACAAATGCTGTTGTAATGGAGTTCTTGTATATTTACCATGACAGACTGTTCTCCTCAGTAAATTCGCTCTGGTGTGTTGATCATGTCACGTTTTTGATCATCATCTTGTCTCTATATATCTTATCAGATCTAATTAATCCAACATAAGCTCAGCAGCTTCATTCATCTCAACAGGTATAGTATTAGGAAAAGTAATAATCTAATAAGTTTTATTTATTTCATTATTTTAATTTTGTTTTCCATCAGCAAATGTACTTATGGAATATTTTTAAGAATTGTCTATGTAAAACATTTTTTTCATCAAAATTTTAAAATCTATTGGATTGAAATTAAAATTAATGAAAAAAAATTAGGTAAGCCACAGTATAATCCTGCGAAACATTATTTGAAGATTGTTTATTATCAATAAAATCCATAAAAGTTATTTAGGCAATTCTTGTCTGATCATGACTCTTAGATATTAATGTGATTTATATTATGTGGTGTGTACCTGATATCAGCATTACACTTAATTTTAGTGATTAATTAATATATATATATGCATATATATTGTAATATCTCCTATTGTTACTTCTAATAAAGCCTCTGGAAGATCACTTCCTGATGTAGCTATACTTCCAAAACTAAACAAAAGGTTGTAAAATAAAAAACAAAATTATCAGAATATTAAACTGAAATGTATAATTATTTTATGAGTATCTCAAGGTAGGGGATACTGACAATCAGATCAAAAGACTCAGACAAACTAAAATTATTTACACTAAATACTGTTTGATTTTAAAATATAGTCAAGAATGAATTGGCAAGCTAACCTTTTTCTATATACACAGTTTCTTCTTTTGTGGCTCTGAATTCATTTGTATTCAAACACTTTACAATGTTCTGCTGCACATACTTTCATCTACTCAACTCAAGCTCCCTGAGACAACCTCTCTCTTGTCTCTCCAAACAACTAGTGACCCCAGCCAAACAACAACTGAACTTGGTTCATCCCCTAGCAGCCATTTTCTTCTTTAGAGAAATTCCAGAGTAGCCATTTTCTTTTTCCTGAACTAGTGAAACTATTTTTCAAATTTAAACATCTCCTGACATTAGCTGAACTAGATTAGCTCACCTTTTAACTGTTCAACGTTAATTTACTAAACCATTTTTACTTCTAATAAAGATGTATATTACAATAAATCACAACTTCAGTCACTTTTCATAACCAATATAATATTCCTACCATATTGGTGTGAAATTAGATTTCCTGACTCTACCAGCAATTGGATCGAAGGACAATATTTAACTGAAGCTTAGTTGGAGTACATAGATTAGTACTTGGTTAATTGATTTATTTTTTTATTCAGATAGTATGTTTCGTCCAGTTGAGTTGGATTATTGTAATGGCATGTATTCAATATCTTGACTTTGGTCATAGTTCATTGTTACAAGTGAACATTGCCATATTTTCCAAATTGGTGAATCTTCTTGTAGTATAGAATTGAGCGAGCCTTTCATAATGAACCTCTTTTCCTTGAAACTTTAAATTTTTTTTTATTTTAATTTAAGCTCACCCACAATTGGATGGCAGCCTGAGAAATCTTGTCCAGTACTCATTTGAAGCAAACCTTTTTTCTTTTTCTTCACCCTCATATTTTATTTATAAAATAACATATAGAACAACGTTATAATATGGACAAGCTCTAGCATACATGAGGAAATCCATTTTTCTGTAGCTCATATCCTTCTTTATTAGATATACTGACCTCAGCGGGTAAGAATAACTAAAAAATGTTGTTAGAATTATTACAAATTTCCGTATCACATTAGCCTTCTTCAGCAATCAATCACGTGATACATCTTACCATCTTGTTTATTGTGCTGCATATAATTATTAAATAGCATTAATCCCTAAATAAATCTGATTTATTTAAAGATATAGTTAATGTATCTGTTAAAAAAGAAAACGATTTGTCAGCTTAAATTATTGTCGGAATAATCCAAACCAACTTGGATAGCAATAAAAACTATCAAACATTTATTTTGCAGAAGTTAATTTATATCCTTTTGTTTTCTCGATAACAGTAATGAGCATAAACTCGTGAAAGCTTCAAAGGAATATTTGACTATCAGAACTATATTTTTTCCAAAAAAAATTAAAAAGTCAACAAGGAATGCCATCTCACTTGTTATTGTACAAAAAATATATTAGTTTGTGAATTAATCCATACCTGAGAAATATTATTTTTATTCTTTTTTTTATAGTAAAAATATGTTATTATTTTATTTAACTTATATAATCTTGATTCACACCTGTCAAAAAAAATATTAACAATTAGTGAATTTGATGTTTGTTATAAAATAAAATGAGTATAAGGCGCATGAAGGAGGAGGGACGAGGGACAGTACACTTCCTCCCCTTATTATATTATTATTAATTTCTTTATTTTGTTTTCTTTAATTTTTTTTATATTGAGCTTATCTAATTAAGGTTTTCTCTAGTTTTAAGTAATAAGTCTTTGTAATAATCAATATTTTTTCTTGTTTTTTCTTAAGATTTTTTTGTTCTCATAATAACATGAAGTTAAATATAAGGTTTGTTATTTAATATAAAGTTGTTAATAAAAAATATTAATATTAATTTGAGAAGGAGTTAATTGGGGGGTGTGGTCAAATAAATACTAAATTAAAATATAGTATTTATTTAATTTTTGCCGACGTTTATCAATATCAATAGACGTTCATAAATATCAACGGTCAACCATCTCTACATCATTAATATTGACTGTTAACAACAAAGCATGATTTATTTGTTTTAGATGTTAAATTGATTAAATACCAAATTGGTGCAGCAACAAACACCATTTTGTCTAAGGTTCAAATTATGTGATGTTTGAAACTAATTTGAATACTATTAATTGTTCTTCTGGATATGTTTACATTATATTTACAAATTATTTCTGTACTGTCAATTCATTCACTTAAGTATTTTTGAACAAATACATACTGTCTTATCAACTGATTACTTTTATTTTATTTTTTTTACATTTGGTCAATGTATTGCAGGAACACTGCCGTGACAGACACACCGAGCAGAGTCCCATTGATCTGGAGAGAAGAGGGTGACGCCCGCAGAAGACGGAACTCCTTGGCCCCACCAATCCTAGCGGTAACCCTGGTGGTGGGCTATGTCTGCTTAGGTGCCTGGCTCTGGGCCTCCTGGCACCGCCTATCCTTCCTCGAAGGCCTCTACTTCACCTTCTCCGCCCTCACCACTATCGGCCTCGCGGACTCAGGAAGGATACCTGCTAAGAGGCAAGAGATTCATCTCCTCTTCACATGCCTCTTCATCCTGGTCGGCCTCATTGTGATAGCAACCGCTTTCGCTCTTGTTCAGGAACAAGTCATAAGCAAGACTCGCCAACTCGCCGTTTCCTTAGGTGTTGTCAAAAAGGAGGAACTATCAGTATGATAATCGTACCAGTGACAATATGGTATCCATTTCCTTTAAATCCTTCTGCCTTGTACAAACGGGATTGAAGTACTTTCAAATTTATTCAAATAGACAATAAGAAAAGTGGAATGTTTATATTGATTTGTTACTTTAATAGTTATTGATTAAGGTGACCAAATGTTGAATTTCTATTTCAAAAAATTTGTTGCTCTGTTATATTATCTTTATTTAAGGCCTGAAATATTCAATTTGATATCACCAAATTTTTTGTTCTTCAAGACCAGTGGCTCTTAACCTTGTTAGATATTGATACAGCCTTCACCTAAACATAATGCTTCCATCACTTTGAAACTTTTAAATCTAAAGATAACTTCTTGAACTCTCTTGATAAATAAATACCTCAGCTAGGAAATTAAATCTATTTGAAAAAAACAACACTTTTTTTATTATTATAAACATGTTTATTTTTATTTTATTTTTGAAAGTCACGATGATATCAAAACTTTTTTCATCAACTTAGAGATTTTTTTAATAGTATCGCTTTTTCCTTGTTCTGGATTATATTTAATTGAATTTTGGGGGATAACTTTATTTTTTGAGAGTTTAATTGTAGAGAACTTTCAAACAAACGAAAAAACTAAAATACATTTGCACCCCTTTTAAGAGGAGGGCAAAATATTTTCTTGGGAGGGTTTAACGGGCAGCCCTGGATAGAACTATAATAGTATTTGCCAAATTGACATTGAATTACCTTTTCTTTCTTTTTTTCCTCACTTATACTACATTTATTAAATTTCTTGTTCCAGATGTTTTGAAGCATTGTGTTTGTAATTACTTTGTATTATATTGCAATATTTGGTATTCTATCATGGCTAAAGAACCTTTATCTTATATTTTTGTAGGAAAGTATCAAGAGAATAAGTCTAAGAAAAGAAAAAAAAAAATTCCCATTTCTGGGGATGCCTCTGGCTAAGAACTACTATTCTAGATGGATATGAATTACTACTAGATAGATATGAACAAAGGCCATTTAACTAAAGAAAAAATGAATGTACTGTTTATTATAAGTGAATTATTTGCCTAAATTTTAAGGTACCTTTCACAACATTGCCTCTTGTATTCTTCTGTAATTCTTTTAGTCTACTTATAGACTAGGCAATATAGGAAAAATAGGTGAAGGTTTGGTTTTTTCTTAATTTAGGTAAATTCCAGTTTTTTGGATCGCTGAACACGAAACTGATGTTTGCTGACAGAAATTTTGTCCAGAACCTTGTTTTGTTATTTAAATGTCCAAATTTTGACATTTCTTTTGTTCATCAAATATAAATAGAAAACTATGTTTTTTTTTAGAAGACATAAAATATTAAAACTTATACAAAATTATAATTAACAAAACCGCCTCCATTTCGTGTCAGTTAAGTTTTTCTCGATGATAACAACTAAACTGCTGAAGTGTACTGTAAAAAGAGTCTAATTCTGAAAGATGGTAACATGTTATTAAACGTTATAAAACTCGCAAAATACATGGAAAACATTTATATTTGGTATATTGGAGCAAGCATCAATGTTATACCAGAACGACTGCCAAATAGCTCAACAAATTTGTCTCCAACCATGTAACAGTAAGGCTTCTTTCACATTAAAGATGCAGGACGCTGGAGGCAGGATGCATCTTAAACACTGAACTCTGTGCAATAGAACGAGATCTTTCATCCCGAAGAAGCAAGTGTGTCTTTCAGTCTGGAAGCAAGTGCGTCTTGCAGCCTGGATGCAAGAGGCACGTGCATCTTCAGAACCAGCCAGCTGGAGATTTTTAGTGTGCATCTTTGTTACGCTGGTCTTGCATACTCGCCCCTTCCACCTCAGCCAGCCTGAAGCAAAATATTTTTGAGAAGCAATCTGCCCTCTCCCTTCTCAATTTTCTCTAAGCTCTTGTGATTGACGTCTCTATCAATTTCTTTTTTTATTTTCAACTATTGTTTTCTTTTTTTTATCTATTGTTTAATTTTTTAACTATGGGTTTTTTTCAATCAATTGCTCTGATTTTCAACTATTTTCTTGTTATTACCATGGAAGGTTTAAAATTGTATGCCAAAATTTCAATAAATCTTTAGTAATCTATTTTATAGTACGTCTGAAACTTCACTGGATGGTTTAGTAATTGCTGAGACACCATAGTAGGGCTATAATCTCCAGCATTATTCCTGTGTGAATGCTACCATAAACGATTTCTTCTTTGTCTTTGTCTTCTTCATACTGTACAAGCCAGAATTATAATTTTGTCGCCTGAAGAGTAGGATGATTCATCTATCAAACTCACGGACTAAACTAACACAGATAATGGTTATAAATAGAAGATGCAAGAAGCACGTGCATCCTTAGTGTGAAAGCTCTTGCATCTTCGGTGTGAAAGGTGCCTAAGAGCAGTTCTTCACCTGCCAAGCTCAGAAGAGAAATCATTGATGGACTAAAAAAAAAAATCAAATCTATACAGTTATAACTATTTTAAGATCATGAGACAAGAATACAATAGACATAGACACTTCTTCTCCTTCCACGGCACTACAACTCATGAAGAGTCTTGGCCTCCTCAAGACGTATCCGCCAGGCGTCTCTATCCTGTGCAGCCGCTTTCCAGTTATGTACATCAAGTAGGACACGTGCATCCCTTGCCACACAATCCTTCCTACCGTGTTCACAGCCGTGATCTTCCTACTTTCCTAGAGCCTTGTTCATTGCGCTCCATAGTTATTTTGGAATTTCATCATTTTGCATCCTCGCCACATGCCCTAGCCATCGCAGTCTTCATAGGCACTTCTGTTACTTATAGAAATAATAACAAGCAAGTAAATAACAGCCTAATTGTTGAAGGGAAACAACTGTTTAAATACTTTAAAACATCAGAGTTGAATGTCAAAAATTTCTTTTATATTATTTAGGTCCTTTTATGTTTTAGTTTATTAGGTTAATATTAAAACAGGCTTTGAATAGAAGGGTGGTTGAGGTGATCAGTCAAAATAAAAATAGTAAAAATAAATAATTACATTTATTTTTATATTTGCCGAAATTCAGGCCTTCATCAGGACTGTTCAATCCAAGAAGCTTGGAAAGACGTCTTTCCATTACCACATGTCTTTCCACGCTTCTTGGAGTGAACAGCCCTGATGAAGGCCTGAACTTAGGGCAGAAACATTGGCAAATATAAAAATAAATATAATTTCTTATTTTGACATATCACCCCCAACCATCCTTCTCTTCAATTATTCACTACAGTCAACCATCAATCCACAATTATAAAGCAGATTTTATTTTGCATATATTTCATTATATATATATATATATATATATATATATATATATATATATATATATATATATATATATATATATATATATAGGGGCCGGGGTAGCCTTGCGGGTTAAACAACATCGAGTGTGACTAGCACTTGGATGGGTGACCGTCCACCAAGGAAAGCAATGCTGGCCGAAATTCATCCTCTCCCTCCCTCCCACCCCTCCCCGCGGGTATGGGAGTCCCGTCAGCCTACTGGAGGCAACTCACACCGACAGGGCATAGGATTGATAACCCTACACCATACTTTAAATCGAAAATCAGGATGCGGTTTAGGAGACCATATTCGCGGTCAAAGATTTTCATGGTCTGTAGCACCAGCCGAAAGAAAAAATATATAAATATATATTTAAAGTAATTATTTTTTCTAAAGGTTCTGGATAAAATTTGTGGCAATAAACCTCACATGCATGTTCACCCAACCAAAAATTTTACTATACCATAATTTACTACTATAAGAAAACATCCCTCCAATTGCCTTTACCTGTCCTAGTTTTATTGGGCTATTAAGCATGTGTGTTTATGAAAAACAAAAATTAATTTGCTATTAAAAACAGAACATTATTAACTGGACATAATATATAAAAATATATTGTTTTCAGAATGATTAAAAATATATATATTTTTTTTTTAAATCTATTTATTGGATAATAATACAATCAGCCACTGCTGGAGGGCTATAAGTATTAGGGCTAAGAGTTCTCATTCATACAATATATACACATAATAGATAAATAAAGATTAAAAATATAACAAAATGATTTGTTAAATTTAACAATAAAGTGTGTTAAGGTTAAACAACTATTATTTTTATTCTGATATTCTTAAATTCAAGATCTGTCTTTTTGGTTTATTAATAACTTTTATGATTATAAACGAATTTCTGAATTTTAATGAAATTCAAAATAGTAAAATATTTATTTTAAAATAAAAATAAAAAGAATTTATGATTATTAGGCTTCTTCAAGACTTAAAAACAAAATAAAGTTACATCTGTTCTATAAGACTACTAGGATAGTTTATCAACTTAGTGTGAAACAATAATTATTAAAGACAAATGAAATTAATTAAGAGACTATCAGTGTCAGAGATAATTCAGTGTGTTTTAATTTTCTCTTAAAATACAATTCAATTTTTAAAGAAACCCTATACAAACCTTTGGTGTTATTAATACATATATCATTACTGTAATATTTGTTTACAAGTATTTTTTTCTTGAAGGCCTATTTTAGAGGATTATTGGGTCTAACTTTCTGCTGTGGTCAGTGCTAGAAAGTATAAGCCATGTTTAAATTACTAATTCTTGACTAAGCCTAATCCTGTAGCCTGCTCCATATTATGTGATTAACCGATAGTTTATTATGTGGCAATGAAATAATGTTCAACAGTATTATTTGGCTAAGAAATCAGGCAGTTTATCTTGCTGCAGGCAAGTTATGTTCATAAAATCCTAACCAACTATCTTCTACCAATATAACATTGAGCAGACTGTATATATATATCAAATATTAGCATTATTCAACTTTATTGTTGTTTGTTGTAAATACTGCTGTAAATATGTTTATGACTGTATTTATATTGAAAAATTATCATGTATATAATTTATATAGATACATACCTAAAAATCAATGTTGATAAATACAAAAATGATATCACTTGTACATTAAATGTCTTTACAGTATGATGTTGTTATTTCTTCAAAGTATTCTTTTTTTTTATATCTTATTATATTAATATTACTCCTCAAATTTCTTAAAGCACCATTGAAGTCAAAAAGAACTGTTCAAGTGCAAAATTTAAGGTTTGTTTTGGAGAGATAAAAATATTTTCCAGAAACTATTGAAGGTTTTTATGAGATTCCTGGTCAGTTCTTGATAGGAAGCTAGACATAAACCTATGTTCTGATGATGAACAACCAGAATAAACATATGTAGACTGAAAATTCTGACTATCTATCAACCTGTTTAACTTTTAAAATAGTCAACAAAAAATATCTCTATAAAAAATTATTCTTATGCACACTTTATGAGACATATAATGGTATTGATGCTATTTACAGTCCACTATATCTACATTTTTTAGACCAAATTAACAGCGCTATATGTCTTAAAACTTTATAAAAGCAGATTTTATTTAGAGGACAAGTTTTTTTTTTTTTTTTTTTTTTTTTTTTTTTTTTTTTTTTTTTTTTAAATGAAGGTAACTACAGGAGCAATAATGCTTTTAGGTGAATTTTCATATTAACTTTTTTGTATATAACAGGTAGACTGTAATTTATTGTGAAAATTAGAAACAATACCCTTATACACAAACAACTTTATACAATCTTATTTATTTCATTTGGTTCCCAGAGCTTTCGGTGCTCTGTACCATATTCATCTAAAAAATTTATTATATACATATATATCACAAAATACAATATAATTTCCAATTGTCACTTAGAATTCTTTCATGTTTCTACATACCTTTTCAAGCTAGTTCTATCTGCTTTGGATACCCTTCTTTAGAATTTGTTTTCCAATTATTGCAGATTGTTGTCGTACTGTATAAAAATAATTAAAAAAATTATCTATATTTGGGTTAAAAATCAAAAGCAAAAGATTTAAAAAAATGGTGTAATAGAAAATTGTTATTGTTATAATCTGTTCTATCTATTCTATTGTAATTAATTAGTAGTAAGAATTTATTTGCAGTATCACTTACTATAGGGGAAGAGAGGACTCTATTTGCAACTTATTTTCCCATATTTGGTCTTACTCTGGGGTTTGAACACGCTTTATCATCCAATCCTTCACCCCAAAGTTATCATATCCCCCTCTACCACCAACAAAAACCAAAAAAAAAGTAATCTTTATATATATATTTCTTTGTGTAAGGTAAAAGTATGCATACACCGGGGGGTCCATCCCTCCCCAAGGTCGATGGTGCATGAACTCACCTCAGAAGAAACACGGTAGGAGAGGTTTTTAAGAAGGATTTTCCATCTGGACTTATAATCTGAGGTGTGTGATAAAGATGTATGAAAGAATTGGGTCTTAGCATCAGGGTTGCCCATCCCTCCCCCATGACCTTTCCCCCACTCACAAAATATTTTATTGATCACTTTTTCTTAAAAACAGAGTAAGTGAAGGTAGAACTAGAAAAAACCGTAGATCGTATACAATTACACTTGCTGTGGTCTGTTCCCCTTATCCCTAGTATGTAAATTTTTATTCCGAAAATTCACAACCCCGCCTAAAGTTGTCCCCTCAAATATTCAAAAACCCACCAAAATATGCCCGCTCAAAAGTTTTGATGGTGCTAGTTGCGTCATCAAATCCTCTTTTGGGTACCCCTACTTAGCATATCCCAAGAAAGATTGAGTAAGGTTTCGAAGAGTTTTGAAAGAGAAGTAGTCATCCGGATTGCGTGTGCGTCTGAAACACCTTGCAGCATTTCTACTCTTCGTTAATTTTCTTATTTCTGGATTAATCCACGGAGCAGCTGTGCATCTGAAGATTGAGGTCTTTAAGGGTGCGTGTTGATTTAAGAATAGAAAAAGATTGGAAGAAAAACATGCCACCATAAAATAGGAATAGATCTGATCTGAGGATTGGACTATTGATTCGAGGAAAGGATTTAGTTTCGCAGAGGTCAATAGTCAAGATCCTGCCATTTAATTTGCTTGGGAATTAACTTAGGAGTCGGGACGTTATAAGAAATCTTGATAAGATCATGATATGATAAGAAAGGAAGGAAACAGGATTTTGGGAGGACAATAAGTTTGGAAAGGAATCAATTAAAAAAATCGAGCCAAATACTCGAGAACTGGGTATGGTGAGTAGGTTGAATAGGAACAATAATTAGGTCAATAAAATATATTGGACCTACAAGGTATGATTTGGCAAGGGAGTCGGAGAACAAATTGATATTAAACTCCCCTATAATTACATTGTTGTAAAGAGAATGTAGGTAAAAAGGGAAGCTTCTGAGGCAGGATTAAATTGGGAGAGGGAGACGATATGTTATGGCGTAAAGAAGGAAAAAGGAATCAGAGAAAATGTTTACAAATAAATTCTCTAAATAGGGAACGTCGGGAGACGGGGACTTGTGGCGAATTTTTGCCCTCAAACTTTTATGAATGTAAAGACCAACACCGACACTTGTTCGGTCATGACGAATTAGGATGTAGTTAGAGATGGTTATAGAGGAGGAAATATTTTATTTGAACCAGGTTTCCGAAACGGCAATAATATGATAAGAATTATGGAGGAAATAATCTTGAAATTCACCTAAGTAGGGCGGAAGGGATTGGAGGTTAACATGGAACGTTAATAGGATATCAGTTATTTAGGGATAAAGAAGGACATACATCATTGAAAGTTTGGAGAGGAGAGGGACAATCGTAAATAAGTGAATTTGAGTTTCCTAAGACAAAGAAAATTAAGTAAAACAGAGAAAAACAAGACAAATGATATTGAGATTTAACAAAATAAATATTTCCAACTGAAAGAAATGAATGACTGTTAACATTAGGAAAAAAGGAAATAATACAGAGAAACATACTCAACTATTTCTAATTTCAGCATCCAATATAGTTCACATATTTAATATTTTTAGATCGATCCTATCTTTTCCGGCTTTGGATAGTAACAAGTTTTAAATATTTCAGTTGCCAAAATTGTGATGACATGAAGCATCTGTATTTGAAGAATAAAAATTCAATAATGATGAACACAAAAGATTCTAAAATCAGTTAATGTAAGTTTTTAATTAACTTATACAATGTCAAGAATGCTTCAGAAAATTTTAAGCAAGCAATTAATGGAAATTTGGATTCGTTTTCGAAATTGGGTTCAGAATATTTATAATTACACCACCTTACAGAACAAATCTAAAAATTGGTTAGTAGCACATATACGGAAATGTATACTATTGATTGCATCTGAAGGAGTTCTTGGAATGTGGTCCTCCTAAAATGACATGGTCTAAGGTAAGTTAGCTACTCCAAGAGCTATTTCCTAGTAAAGAGCTATTCCTTTTGCTATGCAACAGAATAAGAACAATGCAATTCAGTTCAATGCAATTGCTTCTAAATGTGCAAAACCACTTTCAGCAAATTCACAATCTGAAACCCAAATAAGTAAGTCGCTATAAATTAAATTACTATATAGCTTAGTGCATAGTTTAATAAATATATTATATATATTTATATAAAGTTTTTTAAATTGTAAAAAAAGTGTTATTAAAAAATTAATTTATTTGAAATTGTTTTAAGAAAATAAAATCAAAATTAATTAAAAATATTATACTTTTCGTCTGGTTCCTAGTAATATTTTTTTTGCTTTCACTAACCTTTTTATGAAATATATTGTAAGCAAAAGTATTGTGATTGTGAAAATTTTCGAATTCGAGATTTTAACTCATATATACGTTTTGAGGAACCCTGAATAACCAAGTCCCACACAAAATAACGGGTGTATGTGAACAGTCCCACTCAAATGAAAAGTTGTACAAAACTGAAATGAAATATATAAGATTTTTATGTGCCTTGGATGTAACAGCAACTTTCTCATCAAAATCGGCTAACCGAAAGTGTCTTTTTATATCATTGATTTTTCAAACTAAGTAGTTTTAAATTTAAATTAGGTAATATTATCGTCGATAAAGCCTGAGGGTTTAAATATCGAAGTTTAAACATTTCTTTCTCAAAAGTATCTCTGATTTTGTTTCTTTGAAATAATAAACTATATCCAATTACAACTAAATAAGGGCTAAGGTGGGACTGAAAACAGACGGAAATACCCGGATGCAATCGGGCTTGGAGGGTATGTTCTTTCAAAAGTCACTCAAAAATGAACAAAACGCATCCTTTTGTTGTAGCTTAGTTATATAATTAAATTTCTTCCATTTTTGCGAATAGCAACGTTATAAAACAGATTTTTTATATAGTGAAATTTGGAAAGTTTAACTTTATCTTTATTTCCACCCTACCTTACCTCTTGGTAACATGAATTTTTGGTAGAAGTACAGTGCTAATTCTACCAGTTATTACCTAATTCTTCGCTCTTTATATTCTTCTAAAGTGATTACAACTCCTTTCATCCCTACACAAAAGTTTTGCAGTACAGGTAGTTATCCTTGCTAACTAGCAAATGGAAGCCGTCTCTATGATGAGATAAGAGTCCAATTTTAAGGTCCATTATCCACTTTTTTTTTCTGTATCTCCTTAGTTTAACTTAAATTGGATGTTTCACTTCTATTTTTTCAATATGTTTATTTGGAAAATCTAACTTCCTTTATTATTTTAGTAATACATTTCATGTTGAGGTTTCAGGAAAAAAAATTGTTTCCCCATCATCAAAACATTTTTTTTTCATGAATTTCAATTAATCTTCATTAATCTTGAGGCTCCTGCTGTCATTAATTAAAATAGTGGTTATTACATTGTGTTTTTCTAAATATGAGTCAGATGATATTTTATTTACCAATAAATAGATTCTTCAAATTTACTATGGTGTTTTATTTTCCTAGTTAATTAGTTTTTTAAATAAGCTACTAGAATCACATGGAGTATATTCTTTCTATAAAGAGTGAATTCTCTAATGGTCTATAAAATCTATTACCTGAGATGAAATGAGGGTTTGAGGTAGATAGTGTGGAATCAGGATTTATTTCTACAAATGTTACTCCTTTAAAAAAAAAAAAAAAATCACAAAAATATTAATTACAAAATATCACCACATACAAAAAAGTTTTCTTTTCACAGCAAAATTATTTATCACATGTTTTAAAAACACATGTGAAGTAATTAAAACATTTTAAATAAACTTTTTTTTTAGATCAGCTTGAAAAGCATATGGTTTTGAGTTGTACTGCAAAAATTGAAATAATACTGTAAAACACTATCCTATATATTATTTCTAAAAGGTGTTTTTTTGTCAGTTCAATCAAATCCAATGATTGACCACTCATTTTGAAGATATTCTTCTCCTCCACATGTGAAGAATAGTTCTATCCCCCTGAAATTTCTGGAAAAAAAGTTATGAAGGAAAAGAAACTTTATTCGCGAATTAGCTACGAAACAAAAAAAATATCGTAAAAATCGGACAATTATTAACAAAGATACAGTCCTTTAGTTTTGGTATACTTAATAATGTCTTCCAATTCACGGGCCAACTAGTTTCAATTATTTAAAGTTTAATAAATGTTAATCAAGTAGAAACAATTTGTTTATTAATAACAAAATGAGGAGGAGAAATAGTTTAAACAGATGTATTTTCAAATGACTTTCAATAAAGACAAAATACAGAGACTAAACATGTTGTGGAGGAAGTTTAATTTCATAAGCTGGGCTTGAAAAAGATTTAGAACAATTTTGAAGAGAGATCGATCTGTTTTTACCAACATTCCTTTCATTTCTGTACTAAACTAAAAGTAGCTCTTAAATATTACTTTTAAAAACCAAACAGATGTAATTCATAAAAAACAAAACAAATATTGGTAGGAATTTCTATCAAAAGAGAGGGTCTGTCTAACTTGTTCAATCAGCCTTTCTTCATTCTGGCATGTTTAATAAACAAAAAAATATCTCTCATACTGGAACAAACATTATTCTCTTCTTATATTATAACAATTTTTCTAAGTAGCGCCTTTTTTAATTACATAGTAAAAAAAATAAAAATAAAATAAAAGAGGTATTTTTTTTCATAAACCATGTTGTCTTAAATGTAAACAGAAATATAATATAGGAACTTCGATCTTTGGGTTCTGGTTTCTAATATTATATCCATGTAAGAACATATAATTTAAAAAATGAGTTAATGGGCAATCAAGCAAATTAGTATTCTAGTTGTCAACTGTTTATTTTTAATGCTATTTTTCAAGATTTATGAAGTAATATATTTTTTGTGAAAGCTGAAAACATGATTTTACAGGGTATCCAGCGATTCTTCTCCGAAAAATTCCTGTACATTTCCTGTAATTTTCCTGTTTTTTTTTCTTCAGATTTTTCCCATTTTTTTTTCATATTGTTACCTGTTTTTTTTTCATATTTTTTCCCCATAAATACCTTTGTTTCACATGAGAGGATTAGTTTCAAAATAGTTTACATCGATTTATTGAAAAAAAAAATTTTTTGTTATTTTTCCCAAGTTTTTAATGTTTATTTTTATAAAATTAGATGTATTTGTATAAAAACCGTTTAGATGTTTAAAAAAATCAACACCAAGAAATTCAATTTCCTATCAAAAGTGGTTTTATACAACCTTCTTTGAACAGTTCTGAAATATTTTTGAAAATGGATGAAATCGGTTTAAAAACCAAAAGCCTCAAATAAACAATGAGTACAACTGCCTATAGTGTAATGTAAGCTCTTATCGTAACCTATTCTCATGTTACACTTTTTACGTATTTTATTTTGTGAAAAGTATATTCGAGTACTATTTGCACATGGTTGTTCTGAAAACGTCTAATATATAAATTTATTTATTATTTTTTTAAAGGGAATCCCTTAATATCAAATAGGTTTTATATTTAAATCGAGATTTTTTTATATTTTTATTATGGAGAGCAGGAGTTTAAAGCCCCTACAACAACAGAACAGGAATTTGTAATTATTATATTTTGTAAACATCTGTTTATCATGTTGCTGGGCAATGCGTGTTTTGCACATACGTTAGCCCGCTCAGCCACCCTGTCCCATATTTAAATTGAGTTGAAATTTGAGAAGTGCATTGGATTTTGACATTAATCATTTTTTCACTTTTTAATGCTTTTGTGCATTTCTATAGTCCCTCTAAATTAATGTACTGAGTTAGAAATTTGTAAATTGAATTGATTTGAGGAAAGTTCCTCCTAAACTCTCAGATTTTTTCTTCCACCCCCTCCAAGTCCCGACATTTTTATAAATTAACTAGTATCAATTTCATTTAATTCCATTTTACAATAAAAAATAATATAAATAACAGTTAAAATAATAATGGCTGTGAAATCTGGTAGGCACTGAATATATGGAAAGGGGTCACATACATGCATTTTTGAACAAATTATGGTTGAAATGTAAAACGTAGATATCAATAAATTTTAAGTAGGTATAAACCTTCTTTTTATGTACTTTTAAACTTCATTCATATTCTTTATCTAATTAATTTGGATGTGACTAATGAAAAAAATTGGTTTCGTTAACACCGAACAAACATTAAATTGATTTTTTTTTTCATCTATTTTAGGAATGAAAGCATACTTATTAAGTACATAAGCATGTTCGTTCAATGCGTACATATAAACAGTAATAGAAATTGTTGCATTTCGTGATTTTTTTTCGTAACCACGAATAGTAAAATACGCAATTCACAAATATGGAACTCATCTGCATTTTTGTATTCGCTGATGCTAAAAACTCCCAGTTATCAAATCACGATTACTGTATTTTGAAAACAGTTTCTCCTAAAGATATTATTCTCAAATGAAAAATTATAGACCTAAGAAATACAGGTAACGTGTAACCAATGAAAATTGTGAGGAACTGGCCTTACTTGACAAGAGGTTTTTATTTGCCTTTGGGATAATTTTAATAATCCCTATAATTAATATTTTAATTAATCCCTATAAGAATTTAGAGTATTTTTTTTTTGTTTTATCGTTGCAATGTTTTATAAATTACTTTTAATGCTTGAGATATAAATGGATAAAAGAAATGAAAATTCATTCATTAATAAGAAAACATAATTTCTTAAATTTAAAATCTGTACAAAATTAAAAACAAAAATAAACAGATCATATACATAATTGTTGCATGAATCAAGGCCTCTTTCAAGTTCAGAAACAAAAGAAAATGAGACAATACTTATTTTCTTTAAATAAATGTAATACGACATAGGAGCCAACGGGAATTCTTTGATATTTATCGCCTATCGTGATATAGAATATTGGAATAAAAAAAATAAATAAAGTTCCCGGTTTTTTTGGTAATTTCCCGGTTTCCTGGTTGCTGGACACCCTGTTTTAATATCACTTTGATTATTTAAATCTTCAGTTTATGGACATATATTAAATTCTTTAATCTATTAATAATACAAATTCTTTGATATTTATCGCCTATCGAGATATCGATTATTGGAAATTAAAAAAATAATTAAAAAAGTTCCTGTTTTTTTTTAATAAATTGCCGAACATTTCCCGGTCACTGGACACCCTGTTTTAATATCATAGATGATAAGTATTCAGGACAGTATTTTTTTTTTTATTTTAATTTTTTTATTTATATTTCACTGTTTTATTAACTTTTTATTATTAAAACATTCAGTTTATGGGCATATATTAAATTTTGAACATATTCCCAATTAATAATGTAAAAGATTCATTTCTTTTTAATATAAAATTTAAACTAATCATAAGACATATAAAAAATCATTAAAAAAAATAAGTTGAACAATAAATTAAAAGGATGATTTTTAAATTATGGCAATCTTTTTAAATCAGAACAAGATTTATTTACAAAAATAAATAAAAATATTTCATTCAGTAAGAACATGAAAAAGAAATATTCATTTAGATCTATAAATATTTATTGTTGATGATAATTAGAACAATTTTCCAAACAGTATTAACAATGTAAATAATTTACAATATAAATTATATATTATATAAAGTTTTTTTTTAAGATGGACCAAACTGTAATTGTTTTTTTAATTTAAATTAAATTTACTTCAGAAGAAAATATAATATTAAGTAACACATCAGATTCCAATGGAGCAGTAAAAGAATTATATGACAAAACAAAAATATAAAAATATATACTCTGAAAATTTAGTACATATATATACCTCTTTTTATAATATTAAAACAATTACTTTGAATAGATGAGTATTTGGTTCAATCACATGAAATGTCCGAATACACAAATTAGTAATTAGAGTAGAACATATAATTAAAAATAAGCATTTATTAAGAAATGCTAATTAGGACCAATGAATATCCTTTTAGAAATAAATCATATAATCCATCAAGAAGTAAAATTAGATTTCTTCAATACACATCAGAAAAGTTATTGAATGGTCATTGAATAAGGCATTGGATTAAATCCTTTTGTGCCAAATATTTAAATTCATGCAAAGAATATGATCTACAATGAAATCATTTTTCTGAGTTTTTAAAAAAAGCAATATAAAAAATTTTTAAATTCATATATGTGAATTGTTAACATTATAAAAAACCATTGACATTTCATCTGATACAACCAGTTACTATACAATATTTTAACAAACTAAAAATATTATTTAAAAAATTAATAAACGAAAACCTTCAAACAAGTGTGTAATTATTATTGGATATAATTTATTCAACACAAAATCATGATTTATCAAGTGATAAAAAAATAAAGAAGAAAAAAAGTTATTTTGCTGAGGTTTTTAAAACATAAGTCATTCTCTTCTGATTCAAAATGTTTTCATCTCCTAGAATCATAATTTCCTTTACTTGGAAATAGTTCCTCGGTTTTTCTGTGGGAAAAAAAATTAATTTTAAAATTAAATATAAACAAAAAAAAATTAACATGAAAGCTGTACTGTGGTGACTAAGTGTCAAAATATCGCATCCTTGACAATTCTAAAAGAACTCATTTGCAAACTGTTTCAGGCGTATCCTATCTTCAAATTATGATCAAACTCACAACTTGTTAAATTAAATTATCTGTTTACAAAACTTTAACAACTCTTTTTTTAATACCATACAGATTACCTGAACATCCAAACAATCTGGGTTTAGATAAGTAAAATTTACTGTACTTCCAACGGATAGTTCTTCCGTAACGATTTTGTTATGTTATACAAAATCATTCATGTATCATGATGCATGTATGTATCATGTAGAGTTCTAAATTTCAATAATTTAATAAAATTTCAAAAAACATATAATCTAACATGTATATTAAAATTTAATATACGAAATTTATTAACAGTATTCTATTACATGCATTTTCAGAATAAAATCAATATTCATTTCCTACTTATCACAAATTAATAAACAAGTTATCTTACATTAGGAAATCAATGATAAAATCCATTGATATTTTCTCTTTTTAAACTTTCTTCACAATCTGCACAACATCTTCATCATTCAGTACATGGTCTTTCCCAACTTTTTGGGGTTGGTGTTTCACAGATGAGCCCCATACCAAAGCACTAAACAAGGCATTTTTAGATTTAGTAGCAAATTGACAAAATAATACTGTTCAATTGTATATATTATATCTTATCATATACACTATACTCACTATTTGAATTCCTTAGCGATCGACCTGTGCAATTTATTACAGAAATCTTCTACAGTCCTTCTTTCAGAATGTAAAACAACTGGCGAGTTATAATCAGGTAGCTGACCTTTAGGTTTTGTGTAACTAAAACAAATAGTAAACCCATTATAACATAAACTTTCCTTCATAAAATTAATAAAATAGAAACAAAACTATATAAAGCTTAATAATGATAAGATATTACAACAAAAAACTATTATTAATAATTTAGAATAAATAAAATAATAAATTCAATTTCTTTAATACTATATTGGTCTTCATTGCCTTTTCGATAAAGCCCCCAGGGTCTCAATCATCAAACCAACATATTCTTGTCATTAATTACAACTAAAATGTCCAGTATTTCAGTTATTTTTTTCTTTAATAACACCTCATTATTATTTAACATGATTAAAATTTTACTATTCAATCAAAGTAAACTCTTGTTGGGCAGAATATAGGTGCTCACAGATCAGTATTCAGATAAGAATGATCTTACTTAGGCATTGGATAGAAACTATTGAATTGTTATATTTGGAGAGGATCAACATAGTTCTATAATACTTTTTTTTTAAATATGTTTTAACTTTAATCAGCCTAGTGATGAGAGTAAATATCATCATTATATGACTTATTTTTAGTATTATGGTAATATTATTGCCTAATGGACAATTGTGAATTATTGTCACTTGGACTCCATGAGATATTATGTGAGAAAGGAAACACAGAAATAATGGAAAAATGGTATATTATTTAAATTTTAACTACCCTATTAGATGTACTCACATTCTAGTAAGCTTTAAATATTCCCACATTCTTTCTAGTAAATCATCAAAATTCCATTTGTGGTGAGCAGAAATTGGGACGCAATGCGGTATTTTATAAATAATATCCAATTCTTCTATACTAATCTGATCTGGAAACAAATTTTAACATCTTTATCTGAATAAACAAAATACAATTTTTTTGTTAAAAGCAAAATGAATATTAATTACCAATTTTATTTAACAGGTAGATGCAAGGAACATAAATCCTGTTCCCCTCAATGACGTCAATTAAATCATCGGTGGTTGCATCGTACCTTAACGTGATGTCAGCATTATGTATCCTATATTCAGCTAATATACTCTTCACAGTGTCGAGATCAAGTTCTGATTGAGTCACCTATTAAGAACAGGATTGGGAATTAATTATAATTAAAAATTATATTTTTATGTAAAACAATAAATTAAATCTTGTTGAAAATTTCAAAAATTATGGATTATTAAAATTATGGAGTTGTAGTCTCTGTCCATCTAGCCCATTGGTCCCTATCTCTGAGTAGTCATCTCATCTCCAGTATGATGCATTTTCTTGCTGCCCCCAGTTTTTCAATGTAATCAGAGTACATGCACCTGAGTCTGGCACGAGGGTGTCTAGCTTCCAAGTACCACCTGGCTTTTCTGGAATCGTCCATTCTACAGACATGTTTGTACCATTTTAGTTGCCGCTCTAGCATGATACCGCACACTGATTTTACACCCAAATCCTCCCGAATTCTTTCGTATCTGATGCAGTCCCTCCTGGTCTCACCAAATATTCTATGAAGGAATCTAATTTCCCCTGATGTTACCCTTCTTACATGTTTATCGAGAGCTGTTCAGCTTTCTGATCCATACAGAACTGGGAGGAGCACAGATTTAAACATCCGGATTTTGGCATCTCTACTCACTTCTTGCTTGCCAATTTAATTCCCCAGGTTTGCTGGCACTCTTCTTGTCATTAGTTTGTCCCATATCTCCTCCCTCTGGACTGAGTCAAAAGCCGCTCTCAGATCCCGAAATGCCAAACTGAATGTCTCCTCCTGATCCCATTCTTTCTCTACTACCGTTTTTGAGAATCAAATGTTGTCCTAGGTCTGTCTTCCAGGTGAAAGCTGGTTGCTTCTCTTCAATGTCCTGTTCCACAATACACTGCAGTCACTGCTCTAAAATCCCAGTGTATATTTTGTACACTATTAAGGATAGGCATACTGACCTATAGTTCCCACATTCGCTTTGGCTGTCTTTCATATGAATCGGGATTATGATGTTATTTTCCCATTCATCTAGCAGCAACTTAAGATTCCAAATCTTTAGAATATATTTGGAGGTATTTCATTGCCTCCATATTTAATAAATTCTGGGGCTATGCTATCCAGTCCTGGAGTTTTTCTTAGCTGGATGTTTTCACCTGCTAACTCCACCTCATCTTCAACAATATCATCGTCCATATCTTCAGGTTAAGTCTCATCCACTCTACCACTCTTTCTGCAGTCCCTGTAATTATGATGAGTATACTCTTCCATACTAATTTTTTCTTGGAAGAACTGCCTCCAAACCTCCAGCACTTCCTTTTCTTCGGTCACCAACTTTCCATGACTTATCATTTCGCAGTATGCCAGAACTTCCTGATATTCTCCCTCCAGTTTTATTCCAGCTCTGGACCAAACTCCTCCCAAGTCATCGTCTTAAGCTGATTTGATTTCTCTTTTGGTTTCATTTCTGATTCTGTCACATCCATCCCAGTGAATAGGTAATTTGCTTCTATTATAAGTTTTCCAGGACTCCTTCTTGAGCTTGACAATTCTTATGAGCTCATCATTTTATCATTTTGTTTTGTTGGAATAGGACCTTATTTTTTGTACTCGACATATTTCACTTACGCTGTTGAGTATGCAGTCCTTAGTTTCACTTACCTTTATATAAAATATATAGCAAAGGTAAGTATTTTGATCGTGCAAATTTTCAATGGAAATATATATTTTGAGGTCTCCCGAATCCAAATAACATAGTCTTGCAAAATGGTCTGGGTATATGTGAACAGTCTAACTCACAAACCAAAAGTTGTATGAAACTGGAATTCCGTATTTAAAGTTTGTATATGCCTGAGATGTTACAGCAACTTTTTCTTTAAAATTGGCTAACCAGAAGTATCACTTTATAGAATAGAAAAGAAACTTTATTCTGGGACAAAGTCCCCTCAAAATAACAATGATGAGCAAATAAAAAACTACATATCTGACCAAAGACTGACTTAATAAATTCTAACAATATATAAATTTAAATAAGTAATAAAAAAAATGTGTAAACAACTAAATAAAAAAAAATAAAATAAAATCCTTTCAATAATAGTTATAGTTATAATGTGAGAAACAAAAACAAAAAATATTTTTGGTGTTAAAAACATAAACAATGGGCTAACTCTATGAAAACTTTATATAATAGATCTTACACATTTTTACAATTTCCTCAAAAACGGCTGTAATGATTTTTATTAAATTCATTATATCGGGGTAAAATTAAGCGGTTTTTAATATAATGTGGGTTTTATTCTCGTTGATGTCCTTTAACAGGGCTTAAATGCCCAATTTTCAAAATTTCCTCCTCTATAGTAGCTTTAACTTTTTTATTTGACATAATTAACCATATCATATTATATTGCAATCATCCTGTATTCAAATCATATTGTAAAAATGGTTAAATAAGAAAAAGGAAAAGATTATAATTAAATAAAGAAGTAAATAATTATAATAAGAAGAACTAATGGATAGCACTAGAGAAGTGAAGAAACACCAGTGCACCTCAAGCGGGGCCGAAAGGTTAGAATAGCTTTCTATGCCTAGCACATGCTTAATAAAGTACGAGCTCCGATAATATTATTATTACATATACATGTGCAGTTTTCCTAAATCCTAGCGTTGGTATTATTTGATATTTGATTTAATAGATTAAAGTAATATAAAAATCAAAATGTATAAATACCATTAAAAACAAATAAAAATATCTACAATGGAATATGAATAAATAGAGCAGCCTTCAGGGTGTGGCACTCTTATCGGACTAAAAATATTTCTTGGAACTTAATTATATATTATAATCATATGAATAATTAAAATATATAGTCATAAAAGGAAATTGTTAGTGACAAAAACAAAAAATAAATATAATACATTAGACGGCTGTGAAAAATGTAGTAAATTATTCTTTTAAATATTTTGTACCATCTGTAATTTTTACTTTCACTACCCTTTGCTGGAAAAAAAAAAAACCTATTTCTGCTACAAAAAAGGGAAGTAAGTGAAAGTTGTGTGATGAGTGCACCACACTAGATTTTTTTTATTATTTAATTATAATTGACTATAGCTTTCATTTAAGACTATTAAGTAGACCAAGACATCAACACATACAAAGAGTAAAAATTTAATTACTATTTTTTTTTAAATTATTTTATTGCTTTCATTTATCCACTATTAATATCATTATCTCCAACCTATTTTTTCATTACTTTAATTTTAATGTTCCTACTATGTACGCAAAATAAAAGTTAACCTGTGCATATTATGATTTAGGAATAAATTATAACATAATAATATTTGTTTAACCACAAGATATCATTACCATTGTCTGTAAATTAACACCTCCTTTTTCTTTTTTTCGAAACACTATATTGGGTGGATCCTTATTTAAACGAAGTCCGAAACCTTCCAGTTCATGTTCAATTAACTTCTTGTGCTGCAATGGCTTCAAAACATCCAAAACAATAAATATCAATGAACAGGTCCTGGCTACTGCTATTACCTGTCGCCCTCTACCTTTGCCATCTTTTGCTCCTTCAATGATACCTGGTAAATCTAGCAACTAAAAATAAAAATAAAATAAATGTCATTTTAAATTTATAAATTCATGCAGTAAAAATCCGAAAATATTTAAAATTGTGTAATTAACATCTAAAAACATGCAAAAATCATCAATTGTGTTTAATTTGTTACATCATACATCAAAATCTGATCAAACCTTGTGTTAAACTTCTTAATTAAAATAATTTGTAGCGAGAAAATTTTTTAAAATTTAAAATTAAAATGCAACATTGAAAATAAAAATCTTAAGGAATTAAAGTAAACTATAGAAACACATTGTAATATTTGAGACTGTCAAGCGTTCAAACACTAGTGTTTATGCTGTTTTTCCAAATCACTAAAGAAATATTTTTGGGACTTATGCTCAATCTAAAAAAAAAAAAACAGATTTTTCGCAAGATGTAAAAAAAACAAGTTTTCTATCAAAATTCAATTCAGGATAATTTGATATCTAGAATTTAATTTATGACAAGAAACTAGATCCTACTTTCAGCATTATTCAATTTTTTTTTTTTAAATAATAATGAAATTACTACAATTCATTTCAACGCCAGACATAAAGGGGTACTGAAGGGCTGAAGAATAAGTGATAATTCAAATCAAAACAATACAAGAAATATATTTCTACCAAACAGCTTATGATAGGAAAGAAATTTTTTATTCTTGTCCAATACTTCAGACAAGTTTTGTTTCAAGAATATTACCACTTCTTCCTTTTGTAACATTAAATTTGATGAACTGTTCCTAGTCACAGAATTATTTACCTTTCTCTAATTTTTCTTTTTTAAATTATAAATTTAAGATGGACAAGATATTAAAATATAACAATAAACATTTAAACATTTATAAATCATCTAATTCCACACAAACATTTTCAATTTAATGCAACAAAAATCAAAATCATACAATTCAAGCTAAAAACAGCAAAACATACTGTGTTGTGCTGTGCTGAAATAATAAATTTCAATATGTATGTTATTCTATTCATCAAGAAACAGATAGATAATCAAGTTTAAGATCTCTAATAATAAACCATTAGTATGGGAAAAACAACAAGCATTCTTGATTTTAAAAGGCCAGTTGTTACTCCAGAACATTTAAGAAACTTAAATTACATCTAAATATCTGTTATTCTATAATTCAGTCTAAATTAAATCTAAACATAAATACCTGAATTTTGGCTCCTTTATACTTAATACAACCAGGCACAGTAGTAAGGGTAGTGAACTCATATGAAGCAACTTCAGAATAAACACCAGCCAAAGTAGTCAACAGGGTTGATTTACCAACAGATGGAAAACCTTTAAAAAATTGAAATTAGAAATATAATTAATAATAAAATAATTAAAACCTATTAAATAATGATAACAATTCCTAATGATAAACAAATTGTTTATATTATATTCATAAATTTTCTTTTTTTTTTTTATTTTATAGAAATTTACAACTGCATTACATAGAAAATACAACAAGTAAATGTGACATTGCTAACATGACATGTACAACATGAAGAGAAACCACCCATTGGTAGAACTCAAATTAAAGTTCTATATTAGAAGGTCCCGCGGCCATCTTCTTTTCAGACGCCTCGGAGAGTATATTCATAAATAGAAAATTATACTACATAATTAATATAAAGAAGGTAGATATTACAGTTAATATTCTATAATCAAAAAATAACTTAATAAACAATATACAAAAAAGTTAGTAATAATAAGTCAACTGAAAAGTTACTTCATATCTTATTCTTTTTAAATAACAGCTATATTTCTTCTTAAAAATTTCCAAATTTAATTTACTTTATAAAAGTTTAGTTTTTAAGCAAAATGAGTATGGCTATAATTGTCAGTTAGAAATGTTGAACAATTTAAATACAACCTTTTTTCAAAGTTTTAAAGAAAAAATACCTCAAAAGTTTTTTTTTTCATTTTACTAATAAACTGTAAACAAACTACTCGATTTGAAGCAAGATTATTAATATAAAGTCAATTTCATACTTAATAGGAATTATTGTTACCTTTTTACCATACATCCATTTGTAAAAAAAAATTAACTAGCTTTGGAAAATTAAGAAAAGTCACTTTAAGTTCTGATCACATACTTTAATTAGAACATTAAAAAAACTTTTATTTTGTACCAAACATACATAATACATTGGTCTTGCTGTGAGTGACAGCTCAGTGTCTCATTAGGCAACAGTTTACAAGAGTATCTTTCAATCGCTTGCAGAAAGATAAGTTCAGGTACATTTTCTCATGAAATGGAAAATCTCGGTTTATCAAGCAAATAGATATAAGATCCTTGATAAGAACACCCTTAAATAATGGAACTGGTGGTGGATCGCAATCCTAGAAGGGCTATTCAGAGAAAATATTTTCATATTATCAGTTTAAGGTCAGAAGCAACATGGTTGAGACCATACTACTGGGTGTCAAAGGTACTAACATGGCAAAGCTCAATCCATATGAAAAGAAAATCCCTAAGCCCCAGTTGTGGGGTATTAAAGACCACCGAACACATTATCGTAACTTGCACAGTTCATGATAAAATTGCAAATGGTTTACTTGCAGCAATAGGTGAATAATATCTCTCTGATGAAAAACGGTATTGTCTAGTAGGCAGGACAGTGAAAAATAAACTTCATCTCTATCTTCTCCATTAAACTACATTTGTAAATTATTGAAAAAAATATTCCTTCTCTTAATTAATGAATATACCTATGCACCTGTTAAAAAAACTGATCTTATCAGCTAAAAACACATAGCGATGATGAGAAACAGTTCAGCAATCTAACCTTAAATCATTTTGATTAGAAAATACTTTCTGGAGTATTTTATTAATTCTGAATATGTGATAGTTTGGGTGAAAGCGATTCAGTTTAAATGATTTGGAGATAATCACTATTTTGAGTATAAAATGATCAAAATGTCATATGAATATTGAGTTTTTTACTTAATACTTTATCAAATCCTTCATAAAATGATTTGACAAAATAAAACTATTGCCTATATAACATTATAATCAGAGATTGATCTGACTTATGTAACTTCCTTGGAGGATTCATAATAAGGGGAGGAGAAAAGGGAGATATAGACTATCAGATGGGCCTTCTAGTCCTTTATTCCAAACCCTGACAGCAACCTAGAGGTTGCTGCTTTGTGCTTAAAGAGTGGGGTAGTCGAGCAGGCTAATGCACTTGTAAAACACGAGATAACCGGCAATCTGATAAACTGAAGATTTCAAGTTTGAGTCCTGGTGCCTGTGGCTTTTAACTCTGGCATTAATTTCCTGCCCTCATCTCTTACAGCAGAAAGGACGAGATAGGGGAGGAAAAAAAGTGAAATACATATTAACTAAATTAAATAAAATTTAAAAATGCACCATTCAAAACCACCTTCCAGTCTGGTTTAAGACCAGACTACTCCAGGGGGCGGGGTGGCCGAATAGGCTAAAGCGTGTGTAACAGCACCGCTAGTTGCCTGGCAACCGGATAATAGAGATTTGAGATGATATAAAAAGTACGAGTTCGCGTTCCGGTGCCGGAGGGGATTTTAAATTTCCCCGCCCTCACCCCCCGGCCCGGGAAAATCCTGTATAGTTGTCTCCCTCTGGAACTCTATACCTTCAGATATTCGACACGCAAAGTCAATATCCTCTTTCAAATCTCTCCTCTTCAAACACCTACTCCATTCCCAATCCGATTGATCACGAAATGCACTATAAACCTAAGATGTAAAAACCTCGAAGTACACCCAGATACTCAGATTATTTTGTGATTCATCGATATTTTGTTTACTTAATTACTTTCTCTGTATATTTTATATTTACACGTTTTTATATCTTTTTATTATTTATTAATTATTCATAACTTTATTATATTCCTAATCAATCTGTAAATATTAAATTGTATTTTATGCACACACCAAAATATTAATGTATATTCTGTATTTGTAACTTGTTCTAAAGGGACACTAGTCCCAGAATAATAAAATTATTTTCATTCATTCATTCATTCTGGGAACAACACCTGCTAATCTGCTTATTCACTTTTATCAAATTTGCTTTAATCTCTATATTCTCAACATATTCTATAAAATCTACCAAATAAATTAAAAAATATGTAAAGCTAAAATAGCTAAAAAAGATATATTCGTATTTTTTCGTTCTTTTATAAACTTGGCTATTATTAAGTATTTTAAAACTGGACTCTTATTCTATTTTATTTTTTTTTGTAACTAGTAGACATAGACTATTATCATTACAAACTCACAAATTCGAATATAAATCACTGTAAAAAATAGAAAACAAAATTGAAGATATTTAGATATTCAACCATCAATATAGTATTTACGTAACATATTTGAAGAAATACACAGAAAATTGAAAAATCTGGCCATGAACATCCTCTGTAATAGCTAGGTAAGACTAGAGGGAGGACAGATTCGGACACAGGTTCTGAAGAGGGTCCAGTCTGACCTATTAGATTTTTTATTTTACTTATAAATTCATATTAAAATAAAGCATAGATGCAATTACATACATTATTTATATTTACTAAATATTTTTATTTCATACTTAATAAAACGTTTCTGATGAATTTTATTTAATTTTTTTAGGGGGCCGGGAAAATTAATCCTAAGGTCTTCGTTTCTCTCAGCAGCCCTGGTAATAGTGAATCTATCAAATATTAACACTTCAAGACAGAAATTGGTGATAACTAAGAGGAAATATTATGCTATGATAAATACAGTATGCAGGAGCATACTGATAAAATAAAATAACCTGTACCACTACAACCCATAAAGGGTCTTGGGTTCACTTTCTTGGTCTACGGTTGTGTAAGGAGGTGATTTGATAGAGATCACACTCAACCGCCAGGTTTTTCCCTTTTATCAATTATTTTAATTAAGGGTACTCACTTTATAGAATCTGGGTGTGCCCCAACAGGGTCTTCCTACCCAGGGTCGCACCATGGCCAATGAAACAGAATAAATAATGTTTCTTCCATGAGCCGGGATTCGAACCTAGGACCTTTAGCATAGGAAACTCAGTACCCTACCACTGAGCTACCCCAAACCAAGGCGCATACTGAAGTATAAACTATAAAGTACTAATTTTACAAAATAATAAAAATATAACAGTGCCTTATGTCGGCAAAATCAGCTTTTAACAAATAAAAGCTGATTAGCTGATTAAATTAAAAGCTAGTTCATACTGATTTTGAGTTATTAACACCAAATCAAGATTGTGAACTTTGAAGTTAAAATTCCTAGAACATATGACACAAAAGATTGATCGAACAAATAAAACAATCATAAAGAAGAAAACATGATTCGTGAACGAAGAGAAAAAAAACCTACCAACAAAACCGATTCGGGCATCTCCTGTTTTGGCAACGTCAAATCCTTCACCTGGTCCACCACCACCTCCTTTAGGAGTTATTAATTCTCTTCTCAGTTTAGCCAATCTTGCCTTCAGTAAACCTAAATGTCCAGCTGTTGCCTTGTTCTTCTGTGTTCGTGCCATCTAACATATTTTAAAATTGTAAGTAATAGATAGAGACTTAACAATCTTTAAATTTCTAATAACTAATATAACTATCCAATTCTTATTAATTATTCAAAATCCTTCATTTAAATAACTATAAATTAAGGAAAACAAGTATAATGGATTTTAAACCCAATCTATTCATAAAAAATATATATTTAATACCTTATGAAGTGCTGAGTATATACTACTTATATGTGAATCTAAGATTATTGCATTATTTTTTCTCCAGAATTATATTAGACTTCATACGAAGTTTAAATTAAGCAATCACAACAACTTATTTAATTTAATCTTATATAAATAATATCACTAGTATACTTACAGAAAGTATAACAAGGTTACACAAAAGAAAAATCAATTAGAATGTAAAAGTTTATTACGAACACCAGCCAACTTTAATATATATATATACATCGCTAACAAATAAATAAACAATAAAATTGTTGATAATCAAACATAGACTAAGATAAAAAGACTTTATAAGCGTAATGTAAAATTAAACTCATGATATAAATGAGGCAAAATATTAGATATCTTTTTTTAATCTACACAGTAAAAGTTAAAACACTACTCAGACACTACAAAGGATAATCACCGAATTTAAAATTAAATTATAAGTCCATTTTTGTTTTTATATAATCATTTTTTTAAATTAAAATAATTCTTCACATCCAATAATTTTTTAACACTTATGTTATATGCTGGATGAACTGGTTCTAGAATATTATCATCAGTACCAATACTGTACTGTTCTCCATTAGGTAGATTCTGGGCAATTGACAACCCACTTAGAGCATAACAGGTGTGATATGTATCCCGTCTCTTCTGGGGCTTGTCGACAAGACCACCTTTAGAATGTTGACAGCAAATTAAGACATATTCTTGGAGGAGACTGCAATCAAAAAGCCATCTATCTGTAGCTAAATATTTTCTTTCATTTTCCTGGGCCAATAAATTCATATTAATAATTGTGATAGCACCAGCTTGCCAGAAGGAGTAACAGCTATCAACCAGTTTGTTCGTGCGACCCTGAAATCCACCCTCGTAGCTCATTTGCCTATTAGTAATCCACCTCAAGAGGGCTTTCATGTCACACATATCCTGATTATTAAGAAGGTAAAGAGCAGACAAGCCACAAAATGTATAACCACCATGAGCTTCCATTCCTGGAGTACCAGCAAAACCACCTTCATATGTTTGACATCTAATTATCCACTCAGCACTACCATGAAATAGTTCATCACTAAACAGATTAGTTAATTTAGCAACTGATATGGCACAATAAACACTTCGCATATCAATTTCTCCTCCGATATGCATATAAAAAGACCCATCACTAACTCTCAAAGATTTTAAAAATTGAAGTAATGTTTCTCTATTAATTGATTCATATGCTTCTTCAGTTCCAATAATGACTAACGTATTGACAGCTGCATAGGTAGGAGCTAAATGAGAAAAATGACCAGGTCCTCCACCATAACCACCTGTTTTATTCTGACAAAGACTTAAAAACTTCACTACATGGCTTTTAGTAAACTCGTCAAGTTCATGATTCAAAAGACTAAGGGAATGGACAATCCAATAGCAGAGCCATGTTCTATTGCAATCATGAGCTTCATATGGAGATAAGCCGGTGAGAACTTGTAGTAAATAATCTTCAGTAAGCTCTCTTCTTAACTCAGGAAAACTAGGGTCTACCCATAACTGTCGAATCTTATCATATTGTTTGTATGCTTCTAACACTGTCTTCTCAACTTGAACTTGCTGAGTTGATGTAGAAGTAGGTAGATTTTCTTCATCAAAACCGCTCCTCTTAAGAAGAAGGTCTAATACTTTTGATTCATCCTCTGATTCCATAGTTCGAATATTAACTTATTTTCTAACCATTAAATCGTTATTGATCATAGTTCATCATGATAAAAGAGTTGTGAGTAAAACAACACATAAGTATTATAATAGTGATCTGATCAAGCTAAATAACAAAGGTTAAATATGTTCATAGTAACAGTGTTTATCAACAACAAACATCCAACACTAGATGTGAACGAAGTTTACCTCAGCTTCAATAGCCGCAATTTTTTCCACAATAGTTGACATTTTGCGTTATTTTAAATAAAAACCGAAAACTAATTAACTTTGAAGTAGATTTTGAACTTGACGTATAACGAAAGGTAGTCTACACGTGCAAACTAGTTATAAAGGCATTATCTGAAAGGCATTGCAATGTATAAGATAAAAAGCCAATTTGAAAGAAAATAATTAAAAATTTTAGAAAATAAATAAATTTATCGACATTTTATGAATTTTTAATCGTATAAAATAGTATTCGTAATTAATGTAATTTGTCCATTGTTATTTTGGAATAAATGGCTTAACTTCACTTGTAGTTGGTTTCGTAAAATTAATTTAACTATAAATATTTTAATAAATCAGCACTAAAAATATTAAACTTTTCACGGAATCTGGTGATAAAGATTCAGTTATAAACCGCATGATTGAGACTTGTAGTGCTATCTATTAGTTACAGGCTGTAACTGTAACTTATAGCACACACCATTTACGTATTTTAGTTATTTCCTAGTACTTAACTTGAAATTGCAATTTTTTGTGGCATATAAATGTGAGTTTTGACATTTCTCAAACTATGGGGTAATAAATATATAATTGGTTATTTCACTATCTTAATATGTTTGTTTGGTTTTTGATATTTTCCATCTACTGTCGGAATCAAGAAAAATAAAATAAATAGTTTGGATTAGCAATAACATCGCTGTTATTTAAGTTAGATAATTGTGATTTCCATAGTTTTTGAACTATCTAAACGCACCTTAATAATCAATTTAAACAACATCTATTCCAGGGGGCCTTCATACTATGTTCCTCAGGCCGGATTCGGCCCGCGAAAGTGTCTATAATTATATGGCAAAATTTTAAAACTATTTTAAAAATATGAAATGAAGTAAATCACTCAAACAGGAGGTTTCTAAAACCTTTATAGTATGAGTTGTTTCTCTTGGAAAGTTCATTTCACCGCTGAAGAGTCATTTATGTATCACAAGTCATGGCATATGGGGCTTTGTGGAGGCCCAATACGGTCCGCGGGACTTAGTTGATGTCTCGATGTGGCCCGCGGACCAAATAGTTTGGAGTCTCTTGATCTACTCTATCAAGTTTGCCAGTACTGGTGGAGGAACAGTCCGGCAAGTAGATATTTTTTTCTTCTTTTCTCCTTCCTCGCCTTTTAGGCAATTTTCCCAAGCTAGAGAGGGAGGACGGTGGATTAAAAGTTCTCCGGCAACGGGATTTTAATTCGCAATCTTCGGTTTATCAGATTGCCGGGCAATGCGTGTTTTACCTAATAAGTTAGCCCGCTCGGCCACTCCGTCACTTCGTCAAGTAGGTCTTGTAGTTCTTTAAGCCAACGCTTGACGGTTACCAAGAGATTGTTTCTTTGTACTAACCAGAGTGGGATCGTCAAGATTCCCGGAACTAGCGAAAAATAACTATTAACTTGTTAAGAATCAAATATTAAATAAGACATGTAGGTCGTTGTGCACTTGACCCGGCATTATTCATTGATCTAGACTGATTTGTTAATTCTATTTATTGCTTAAACGTTGGTGGGAAGGACACTATCGACTGGGCTCCTATCTTTTTCAGGCTATCTATGCTATCGCAAGCCATGTCAGTTACAAGATCACATTCTGCCGTGGCTAAACTCTGCAGTATGTGCAGTTCCAACCGAATATAAGTTTATTATTGTTTGATATTATCTATGTTGGTTGATCCCTATGTAAATTATCTCCTTATATCGTTAAAGTATGAATTAATAGAAGTTTACTAAAAGATTGTATTTCTTTTCAAAAATAGGAATAAAATCCTATTGTTATTGTGATAGTTTAACTATGATCTCAACGTTACAAAACCAATGCATGGTTTTACAATAAGTAGACAAAAGAAATTTATGACCACCTTCAGGTCTGTAAGTAATATGACCTCTTAAAAAACTTAGCTCTTTGGAATAGACGCCATTGTTTCGATAGGTTATTCGTGGTAGTATTTAGGTTTAGCTGGGACGTTACTGTTTGGTGTGTATTTTATTGTTCGAATGTGAAATTTGTAAAAATGAATCTCCTGAAGGCGATGAGTCCTACTTCGGTGACTCCTTCCGTCGAACTCAGTACCTACAGGGACCAGCATTTTAAGGTAGTTGTGTTCTAGTTTGTATGTTTTGAATGGTTATTACATCTGATTAAAGTTATTATCAAGCTTACATCTACAACTTTATTATTCTTTTATTGGCAAAAATAACAAAGAAATCGCAACAATTTAACCCTTTTATCCTGTATGATAGTTGTTAATTTAACTTTTGTAATTAATATTGGTAATGTCCATAGGGCATTGATAGGATTTATTTGCTTAATATTCCAAAATATGGCGATATAATCTATACATTTTCTTCTTTTAAATTATCGTTTCGGTATAAGTTTTGGATATGCAGACCAAATTTTATAATGAGATGATTTACAGAGTTTTTTTGTACCTTCAGCTTATATTAATCACAAATCTTATTGATAAAAATTATTAGTAAAAGTATAATGAAATTTATCAATTTTTATATTTCTGCCAGCTTATCTTTATGTATTTTTTAATTGATCTCTTATTTTTTTCTTAATTTTTGTGTTGTGAGATTGAAACTTTCATAGTTTCTACTAGTGAAATATATTTAAAGTTTATTTACTTGAAATTTTAATGCCCATAACAGTCTTAAAAGTATAGATTAATTATGTTTTAATATAATTTTAGTCAAACTTTTCCGTTCTATTCCTAAGTTAAATTTATTTCAGTTTATTTATTATTTATGTATTAAAATAAATTGATCTATTAGATTTGTGATTCAATTTAAACTTCAATAAATTATCTTGTGTTTATAAAGTTCTACATATTTTCATTTAGTTAATAGACCTCTCACCTTCTAAGTAGAGCTGATACTCTCAGAGACTTAGACCAACACCTCAATTTAATTAAGGGAATTTTGCTAGTTTGTATTACTAGTAAAAAGGTGCTTTAAAATTATTTACTTTGATTATAAATACAAACGTATTGGAATTATTGATGATTTAGTAATAAGTTTATTGGAAGATCATTAAAACCTTATATTCCTTTAATTATAATTCTGATTATTTTCATAAAGCAATTAATAATTTAAAATCATTTTGAGTCTGGCATTAAATAGGACTTCATTTGTCGATTTAGTAATGTTTTTGAGATTTGGTTTTATTTAAAAGTTTAGGAAGTAGTGGATGATCTACAATTATCTCGTATATCTTAGTGCAATGAATATATCTATATGGTATTTGTTCACAAGTGCCATATCTGCTTGACAGATAGGTCAAATTCACATTGATCATACTGTAAGTAGAATTTCAGAAGTAGTGAAATGTTGATGATTATTTTCTCTGCTGGGCTAGTTATACTCATTTAAGGAAACCCACTGAATTCCTTTTAGTTTACTTTACAAACTTAAAGAGCAAAAGTTCGTGTTAGTTTTGATGCATTATTTCCAATTTATCATTAAATACTTTCCATATTATATTTCTAAAGGCAGTATGTAAATTGGTCATCTCATTAAAATTTAAGATACTGCACAAATGTTACTCCATTTTCATCGGTGGCAAAACATACCTGCAGTACATAAATCATTTGTAAGAACCTATTCGCTCATCATCACGTTTCAAATATAAACTAAAGAGTTTATAATGGAGGTACTAGAAAGAAAAAAAAACAAAAATCTGTTTTTTTTTTTATTTTAATCTATAACTTACATGTTATTAAGTATATTTGTTTATCATCGGAATGTATGTTTTTCAAGTCATTGTACTTATCATTGGCAATTCATAAATGTTCATGAATTTTTATATTCCCGATATACTGAATTTTTTTGTTACAAACTAGTTTTTACAATTATTATCTCAGATTACTTGTCCAGAATATGATAGAACTTGTACATCTATAGCAGTGGAACATATTTTACTGTAGTATCATCTTTCAAGTTACTTTTTACCATTGATGGTACATTCATAAATATTTGAGAATGGATATATGATAAATCATTTGGTGCTAATAGTACTCTTTAAATCTTTTAGTATCAGATCTGTTCGTACCTCCTTATCTTATCCCTGTTTGCTTGAGAATGTACTGAGGGATTAATATTTGCCTGATGTAGGGGAAAAAACAGGAGGAAAAAATTATAGTTCACACCATTATAATTTTTATTGTAATTGAAATGAGTGTTGTATTTTTATAAATGTATCAAGGACTTCAACTCTTTAAACAATTATGTTAATTGGTTTTACAATAATATAATTATTTGATCACAGTTTCTTGTCTTCTCTTAATTGATTATCATCCTTTCGGTTGCCTTTTTAGCCTTAGAATTCTTCGATATGAGGATATAATTTCCGTTCATGGCTTAGGCAGTATTTTTTATCCCACCATTGACTATCATCCTGTATTTCCACTGATAGATTGTTAAATTTTGTAATTAATATTGGTAATCTCCATAGGACATTGATAGGATTTATTTGCTTAATTTACCAAAATAGGGCGAAATGCTCTACAAATTTTTTTCGTTTTAAATTATCATTATAAGTATTTCCACTGTTAGGTTGTTGCTTTTTGTTTTTGAGTAAAGTAAACAAAACCACTGTTTATTTTCACATTTTGTACAGCTTGAACTTAGTGGCTTTTAAGTTTGCTTGAATAAATATTAAGATTGTATTGAAAATTACAACTGATATTAATTATTCATAACTATTACAGGATGTACTAAATTAATTATTTTAAAAACAAAAATAGTATGTTATTAATTGAAATACAATTAATGTACTCTTGTAAATAAAATAAAACAGATTGAGAAAAAACAAAAAAGTATGATGTACAGTTAATTAGCATGAATATGTGTATTGAACTATGTATTTAATATATGAAATGTGTTTATTGAACAAAAAATAATTACAAATATGTTTCCGAACAAAATACCAATGTATTTCTGATACTCATTATGACATACACAATATGGTATTTAGAACTTTTATGCACTTCAGTACTAGTAATACATTGCTCAGTGATTTTCTCTGTGAGCCTATAATTAATGCATTATTCCATTAGTGTTTATATATTTACTTCTAATTATTAAATTAATCCTGAAAAATACACTTGCTCTTTTTGTGTTACAAGTTAAAATTTAACATATTTTTTAAAATATATTATACAAATCCGTTTTTAAATGTATTTGCTTTCTTACTGCTATAATTACATTTTTTCCATATCTTTCGTAAATCAGTCATCACATCTTTTTCATCTAAGGAATACATTTAATTACATTAACTGGTTTACTGTCTTCATACCAATGTGCTTTCCAGGAGCTACATTTGCAACGTGCATACATATTATGTATCAAGAGTAATATTGTAGAAGCTATCAGAGAATTGGATTTTTAACTGACTGGCTTGCTGTGCACAGAAGTTGTTGGAAGACCAAGTAATCTTATAAAACTTGAAAGAATCTGTTATATCATTTATCTAAAGTCTGGCCAACTGTTAGTTTTGGAAGAAAAGTAGGAGAATTCTTGAGCTCAAATATGCCTTAAGGAACCATCCAACATTTTTGTGATATTAATAATTTTTTCAAGCATTTTCATTTCACAATATACCTTTAATATCTATGTACATCAAACAGTGATATAGAGGAACACTTAGGTTTTTGTTGTTAAATGAAAATTGTTTAATAAATGTATAAAATAATTTCACAAAAATGTTAGTTGGTTCCTTACTGCTTATTTATATTCATTTATTTTAATTTTTTGGAAGTTTTTGTCTAACATAATTTTGTATTATTCTAACATTAATTTGAATAATCTTTTAATTGTATAACTAGTGATAATATCTATGTTTCAGTAAAGGGTTTTGTATACTGTATTGTTTTTATGCATTAATGTTAGTGTTTTGTTGTATGTTGTCCATTTTTATATTTATAGAATGCATATAAAATCTGATTATTCATTGTTTAAATCAGAGTTATATTGTATTTGAAGGATGTGTTACCATTTATCACTTAAATCAATTTGTCCCAACTCACCCTCTGGACTTTATTGTTCTAAACAAATCGCAGACTTCTGATAAAGTCTGATACATCCCTAGGATTAGCCATAACAATATCTTCAGGTTTGAGTATAGCCTCACCTCATTATTGTTTTATTCGGTAGAAAGAGAGTACATTAGCTAATATGCTTAGTCTTTTTCTGCATACTCTAAACATAGGTGGAAAGCAAATTCATTAATTTAAATTGTCATTTCTATAGATATTTCAACAAGAAATTGCCTCCTTTTTTTTTTTTCCATATCTGGTTATTTTTGATATATGGAGCGATTATCCTACAAGTCACCAAGTCAACACTTGACCAGAGTTAGAAGGTCGGGATCCACTCCATGGGTCTGCCATAAAATAAAATTCAACTCAATCTCCACGGCTTCTTAGACAGAAAATGATCTGTGAGGAGAATAGTTATTGATCTTAATAACAATCACAAGTTTTCAATTTGTTTCTTGCTGAATTCAGAGAAATTTTTATCTTTTCTCTACCAAATTTGATAAGAAGTTTAGACTATTTCATCAGATATTTGAAAGTCTAGCAGGTCTATTTCTTTTTCAGTTTGCAGGATCCAATTAAATCTGTTTCCTGATTAATCTGTTGAACATCATCTGCTTCCTTTGATTCTTACACCTCCAGGCATGTTAGAGTAACCGTATACTTCTTTGTCAGTTATTGAAGATATTTAACTGTGGTCCATTGTTCCAATTGTTTAATTTCTTTACTTGAGGTTTAGTAGTTCTACCTTCATTATTGTAGTCATAATCACTTAAATTATTAATTGTTGTTAGTAGATTTGGCTTTTATACTTTTATGAATGGTTAAAATATGTGAGTTATATAGCTCATTTGTACATATTTTTTAAAATATATCTTTATTTGTAAAAAAAAAAATTTATTTCTGAAATCACTTTTATTTTATTTTTTTTTTTATGAATGTGTAGTCTGCTCTGTTTAATTGCAATCTATGTAATTTCTAAATAAATTGTTATTAAGAAGCTGCCAAAACTTCTCACTTTGGCCTTTGTGGACTTTGTTTAATTTACTAACTTAATCCCAATAAATAAATGAATAAGTTTATAGCATCATTTATTTTTGTATATTTTGTTGTTTAATTTTTTATTACATTTTTCAGGTGTTATTCATCATTCATCCTGTCAACATTTGCTGAAATAATTTGCATGATTACTTATCTAAATTGATTTTTAACCTTTGAATTTTTAATTAATAATAAAAAGTTATTTTCGTAATTTAAAAAAAAAAAGTAAGAAAATTGAAGAGATATTTCCTTATTTAAATTTTTGTTTTTTCCGCAGGGCTCTCGGACAGAACAGGAAAGACTTCTTCGCGTATCAACTACTTTATATATTGGAAATTTATCGTTTTATACAACAGAAGAACAAATATATGAATTGTTTTCAAAATGTGGTGATATTAAGAGGATTATTATGGGATTGGATAAATATAAGAAAATTCCATGTGGATTCTGCTTTGTAGAGTATCCTTTTTTTTTTTACATTTTAAATTATTAGAGATAGATCCAAATCTAAATGTGTGGAGATTTAACAAAGATTCAAATTGAAACAGAAATTCAAGACAATAAAAAAATTAGTGCAGAATAAGTTTGTGAAGGATCGGTCATGGTTAATAATATAAATTTATTTCATCTAGATGTTGTGTTATTTATTTTTTCTTTCACAGTTCCATCCACATTAGACATCAGGGAGATGGACTGAGATAATGACATAACATATCATATAATGTATGATATGTGAATATTATTATAAACAAATCTTGTAAAATTGATAATAGTTGAATATTATCAATAACATATCATAGATATACTATAGAATATTATAGATAACATTAATATTATCATGGTAGATTATATTGCTTATTTGTTATTTTTGAAAATACTAAAAATTCAGAATTTATCTGTCGAACAAGAACCCCTTTTCTAATTAACATTAACACGTAATATTATTTTTACTAAAATAAATCTTGTATTAGTTGGTTGGATATGAAAATTACATTAATTTCTCAAATGATCATTAATGCAATGTTAGTTATCAAATAATCATAACTGTAGAATAGTTATTGTTCGCAGACATTTTTTCCACCATTTGAAGAGATCTAGAAAAAATCTGGTATGAGAAACACACAACTTTCACTTACTGCTCTGCTTGAATATAAATTATTTTTTACCAAAGTTGGGCTATTATAAAATTTTTGAAATGCATTTTTGATCAAGTTAAAGCTTATAGCATACAGTTAACAAATCATCTTCTTATTTTTCCTCCTTGTGTGCCTTTCAGCGTTGAGGAGCCTCAAGCCACTTCAACCATACTTCACTGTCTCTCGCCAATTCCTTCACCTGACCTAGGATTTTCCTTTCATCACCTAGTCACTAGATATGTTCCAGATTTGTTCTTCTAGGTCTGACTTTTGATCTTTTACCAGTTGGCCTCGCTTCCATGCATTTCCTTGGTACTCTGCTTTCTCCCATTCTACACATGTGTACATACCATCTAAGTTGCCGGCATTCCATAGTTGCTTTTAGTGAGGGTATCAGGAGTTCCTCTCTTATTCTTTCATTTCTTACCTCTGTCCTCCTGGTTTTTCCCAAAATTCTTCGTAAAAATATCATTTCAACAGCCGTAATCTTGCTGGAGTGCTTGTCTTGGTTAATCTAGCTTTTGCTGCCATATGATAATGTTGGGAGATAGACTGCTTTATAGATGTGGAGTTTGACAAATCATTAATACCATTAAAAACTCCTACTTATTATATCGACCGTTGATTATGGATTGTACGCTCTGTTGATTATGAGCTATATGACTATTAATTATTAATCTGTTTTTTTCTATTGCAAAGTTTACTAAAATAGAATTACAAGATTTGCATTGCCTGTTTACTAAAATAGAATTACAAGATTTGCATTGCCTTTCATAAGTAGGTCAAAAGTTGTCACTCTAATTATAAGTGGATACTGTTGGGATTTCACAGAGTGAAAATTCATCAAATTATTCACTAATTTAATTTTCTAAAATTTTATCACTTTTCTTTCAGGCAAATACAATGAAATAGTATTTTAAACAATGTCATTGCCTTGGTGAATTGTAATAATTTTTTCAAACTTAAAAAAAAATTTTAACGTTTCCATTTAGTACCAAATTCCATTTAATTTCCTTGAAAACTTGTGATTTACGTTAAATAATGTTAGTTTTCAGAAATTATTATTTATATTTTTTTCGTCACTCTCCGATACCTTCTACAACTTTATCTGTTAGATATTATTATTTCCAGAGATTCATTTTCGATCTGGATAACCATTTTTCTTTTTTCTCCTTTATTCAATTATCAAATTCTTTCAAAAGTTATATTTTGCAATTTTTTATAGAGAGAGTTATTTTTTTAAAATAACCCTAATCAAATGTGCTTTAGAGGAACAAGTGCATTTTATTTTTGACAGAAATCAAATCAATATACTAGGATGTCAAATCTATTGTTCCTTAATACCATTTGTAGGTATTACCAACGTCCGGATGCTGAGAGCGCTATGAGGTATATTAATGGAACAAGGCTTGACGATCGTATTATAAGAACAGACTGGGATGCAGGGTTCGTTGAAGGAAGGCAGTATGGAAGGGGAAAGAGTGGTGGGCAGGTAATGTATACAATTTATTATTTTTGTTATAAATTGTACTTAATGAATATGTTAACTTATTAATCAGAATGTTCTTATACTGGTTTAAGCGTTAAGTGTTTCCATCCAAACTTTATTGGTTTTCCAGCTGTTAATTTACAATATTTTTTTAGTATGACAGTATACTAAAAGTGTTTGATCTGTAGTTTTTTCTTGAGGGTATTTGGTTAAAAATAATTCCAAGATTTTTAACTGATAAGCAAATTATAAACCTGTAAATCCAAATCAATTTCCAGTGTTAGGATCTTATTTATTTATAAAAAAAAAAATTAAAAAATTCTAATCAAGGTCAAAATATCTTTTGCAAACTAAACAATAATACCTGATTAAATATAACCATATCTGATATATGTCACGGCTCAATCAATAAGCTTAGTAGTAAAATAAGTTGTCAACACTTGGACCTGAGTCACACCAGGAGTATATAATTTTAAAAAACATTCAACTTTTTTTTCTCGTTGGCACAAAACTTCCATTGAAGTCCTATACTGTAGAACATTCAACTTTAATGCATATTGTGTTTGTATATATAGGTACTCCATAGTCATCAAATATATAAACTTTTTTTTTTGTTTTTATGATAGGTTCGTGATGAATATAGAAGAGAATATGATGCTGGACGAGGTGGTTATGGAAAAGTGATGCAACAGCCTACAACAAAAGCTGAAGCTGCATCAATATTTAATGGACAGTGATTTTAACACAAGATCCAATCATATGCACCTTCTTTCACTTCTATTCATCAGAAAAGGTCTTCTATTGGTCTACACTTGACCTTTCTGATAATAACTGATTACTGATTTATTTTATTTTATCATAGCAATAGAATTTATGCTAATAGAGCATAAAGGTTTCATTTCTGTTAACCTGATATTTCCCGAAAAATAACAATTATTATTGTTACAATAAAGCATTATATCAGTTCATAAACCTCTAATTGGGAATTGAAGTAAAAAGATGTGCATGTGTTAACTTTTTTTATTTTATTTTATTTTTGTTTTAATTTTGGACTTAAAACAAAATAGTTTTAGTTATTTGATGTAATATATGTGAATATAATATATATATAAATCTTGACTGTATTTAATTTAAGCTTTTGATAAAAAAAAAGTTATTTAAAAATATATTATTTAATAAACATGTGGTGTTTAATTAAATAATTTCAAATGTGCTCATTATGCTACTTTTTTTATTGTATTAGTATATCCCAACTATAATTTAGTTTTTAAGCAAGATTTTAGAACTTTTATCGATTCAATGCTCTATTTATTGCCAAAATAAGGAAATCATTGAAACTGCAACTCCTTTTTAAATTCATGAATTTTTTATATGTTTATAAATGTGTAGAAATGGTTAGCCAAGAGTACAAAAAATAGGATTTCCTAAATTATTTTAGAAATTTTGTTTGGTAAGAGAAAATCAGGATTTTCTCAAGAATCCACTGTAACTTTTGTGAAAGACAGGATATTTGTCATGGGTTCTTAACTTAAATATTCTTACTTTGGATAGCTGTTTTGTTCACATTTATTTAATTGGCAAAATGTTGACTGGTATTCTAGAAATTTATAAAGTTGAGCTGATTAATTTTTCTTGATTTTAAATATCACCCAAATTATTAGAAAAACGAATTAAATTTAAAATCTGGAATGCTTGCATCTGGAAATCTAGAACTCTTATTATTGGAGATAATAAATAAGTCTCAGGAAAAGGCAAATATAACAAATTATAAATCAGTAGCATTTATGTACTCTAAACAAATTGTGTCAGACGACTAGATATTCAAGTCAAACATAATTCTGAGACATCATTATCTTTAATCCCTAAGTATCACGATGGAGTTGCTGCTTACAGAGTCTGAATCAGTTATCTCACTTTCTGAGCAACTTTTCTACCCAATTCATAAGACTTCTGGAAAATTCTCAACACTGTCCTCCCAGGAGATGCACGATCTTTTTCTTGGTCTCTTTCACTCCTCACGGGTCTCATAGGTCTTCCTGGCAGTTCTTTCTTGATCTATCCTAAGGAGATGACTAAACCACATTAGCTTGTGCTTCTTCAGGATGGTCTCGTCCAGTTTAACTTCGAGGTTGGTCTGTATGGTGGTGTTCTGGATTCTGTCTCATCAGATCTTTCCTTCAAGTTTATGAAGGTATCGCATCTCCATAGATTAGATTTGTCTTATGTGTTTTGAGGTAGAAATCCACGATTGCGATAGGATAGAGAGAAACATTTATTTATAGACAGCCATTTTTGTCTCGTTGGTGAGCTCTCTTTTACCCAGAAAACCCCTCCAAAGTATAATAACTAATAATAATAAATTGCTTTAATTGAGAAAAGCACACAGATATTGGAAATTATCCACCTGCTCTAATCTCTCTCCATTTTCTTTCAGTAATTTTCTATTTCTGAGGCAAATAGATAATATAGGATTAACTGAAGAGTCAGTGTGTCAAGATAAATGAAGTTATATGATTTTTATGTAACAATTTTTAGAAGGGCATGAGTTTTTTACCATGTCGGTGGAATGGATAGAACTAAGTTGGTTAGAGTCGCACTTGAGACTTAAACTAAATGCTTGAAACAAAGCGGAAAGCCCAAAAAAATGAAGAAGATGGGAGAGTAGGCCTTCCTGAACTTAATGTGTTTGGTAATTAGCATTAGACAGGTCAACTTGGAACAATCTTTATCACAGGTTTTTTCACAATACACTGCTAAAGTAACTAAAAGGGAAAACATGATGATAAAAGTTATATAATGAAAGTCTAATTAGCAAATAACATACTTATTGTTTCTTTATGTTTAAGATAGATTGTTTCTAGAAATGGAAGAACAGGTCTTTTAAAATAATGAGCTTATACATATTTATAACAATATATTTTTTTTCCAAATTTTAATATAATATTCATTAAAATTTAAAAATACTAACAATACTTAGAGTGTTATATAATACAATTCATACTGTACATATCTTTGGAAATTCTTAAATTAAAAAAAACAAAACAATTATAATAGCGAATTATTAGTTGAGCTGATTTTGTGTTGTATCCTAAACTTACATGTTCCATAAACGATAAACAACTTTATACAAATATCCAGCTTAAGGAATTGAATTAATTTATGTACACACTATAATCATAGGAACCTATTACAGTCCTAAATACCTTCATTTACCATAAAATCATTGGAGCTTTATTTTAAAATTAATAATTATATCAACCCTATTAATCTGAAATATATAACTATAGTTAGTTGCTTCATTGCCGAACTGAATTAGGTATACATATAAATATTTACAATAGTATAATAATAACTGCTAACATGATTATTTTAAAAATTATACAAAACATTCAGCTGTTGTGATGCACATGGGTAAGCAAAACAGATAAATTATTTGTTATTGTATAATAAGTAATAAAGAAGTTTGTAAATGAGCCATAATATTGGGTTTAATTCTGCAATAGAGAAAAAAAACAATGATTTCTATTACATATAAAAGGTAAATATATGTTGAACCACTAATATGGAAACTCAAAAGCTTACCAAAAATTAAGTTTTTATGTTTTTGCTCCAGAGTTGAATATTTGTGAGATACCTACATCATATCTATTGGTTATATTCCCGAGACTCACCTATTTGTTGCCAGATGTTTTCAGCAACATAATCTAGTCATAATGTTACTCTTTTAAAGAGTCCTTTTAAGTTACAATTAATTTAAAAATGAGTTGTTTAATGTTAAAAATCGTGAATATACTTAATTAACGATTACAAACTTATAAAATATAATACATAGCTGTACATGATTTAAAAAATAAAATTATTCTCCTTTCAAAGGAAGAAATTCCAAACAGTTATGACTCTATAAAACTAGATTAACACACCATCAGTAATAAATATAAATACCTTCAAAAGTAACTTATTACAATTTTATGATATACATACTTTTTTGCTTAACGTAATTTGTTTTATAAATATATAAATCAGTCAATATGCCATGTGTATAAACATCCACAGCCATTCTTTGTATCAGGGATTATACAATACAAAAGGCATTTTATTTCCATTAAGGACAATAGTTTTTATTGGATACATAATCCTCGACCTATCAGTTTGATTATGGTTGTTTTGAGGAACTCAGCAATTGATTAGAGAAAGTTACTAATATAATAATCTTATGCACTTCAAACCAAAAATATGTTTCACCTATGTGAGATTTCTTGTATTTGTACTCATTTCATTAAAACTCAGTGCATTCATTGTTATTCTTATAGCATAAAATGTTATTTATATTAATTCTTTATGTTGACAAAAACACAGGATGAAATACCTAAGTAGATTTACGATAACAATTTTTGTTATTATGAAAATATTAGAATAAAATCTGTTATTATTTTTCATCCTATTGCAAAGATGAATTCCTTGATTTTGAAATTGTTTCTGAATTTTTAAGTAAAATTGTTCATAATTGTCCTTAACCATTGGTTGAAAGAGTATAATTTTGTTGATTAGGAGTTTTAAAATATATTCATTGTGATATTTATTTGAATGGCCAGCACAGTGGCTTTTTCTTGGTGTTAGGCTTTTTGGATGCTGCTCTGACTGCTTCTCTGAAAATTTCTTCAAGGCCATCACTCCTCAGCGCTGAGCATTCCATGTACTTTGTAGCTCTTATTTTTCTTTTTAATCTTTTGCCATCGCTTGGTTTAAGAGTCTCCACGTTTTCATCATCTCTTAGATCAGACTTTGTTGCTAGAAAAAAAAAAACAAAACAATATACATAAAAATTATAAATTTAATTAAATCTTAATATATATCTTTTTAAATTATTGCTATTTTAATAGAATATTAATGATAAGGAAGAATGTGTTTACGCTTAAGTGTGAAGATTACTTCTCATAATTTTGTTTTTTCTTTTTAAATAAATATATCGCAGTAAGCATTTCATGGTTTTGTCTCGTTATTAGAATCTTGCCATTTTATATTTTCCTATTATATTAAGATGGTCAGTGTAACCGTGTAAATATAAAAGTATGAAACTCCTAAAGGAGTTATTTAATCAATTAGTGAAAAGGACAAAATAATGATTTATAGATCTAATGATAATAAAGTTAGGAGGATCTGCCTTGGACTCAGCTTAGTAAGCAGACACACAGATGGATTTTTTTCTTAAATTAAACTGTAACTTCATTGCAAAAGAATAACAAACAAAAAAATTGTTTAATCAAACGAATGTTTATTTTTATTTAGTAGTAATTTTCATTGGATTTATTTAAAAATCACATTAACATATTTTAACTAAAAAATAACAATTCATTAATGATCCTGAGAATAGAACATGAAAAATATAAATTTTTCATTTGCATGAATTGTTTTCGGGTATTATTTATTAACAGTTTATTAGAACATTAGACATGATGAAATAATTTTTTTTTTTTACTTTTTTTATTTATTTAAGTCTTATTAAGGGTCTACAAAAAAAATATCTCTCCCCAGACACCAAAACATCTAGCCAAGTCGCTGGATGAGGCTAAAAATCCCTAAACATTGAATCTAATATATTTATTATTAAAAAAAAAAAACATAGAAGGAAGTGGAATAATCTTCACATTTTATTATAAACATAAAAACGTTGCGAGAAATATAATATTGTTAATTCCTAAAACAAATGTTTGAATATCATAAAAAAAAAAAATGGAAAACAAAAATGAATAAAAGACAATAATATATTTCAGCCAAGCATGTGAAAAACCTATTGATTATCAATTACCAATTAAATATTTTTAAGTTAAATTTTACTTGTTATTTTTTACAAATTTGATATAGAATTTAAGTTTCTATAAATGCTTCAATGCAAAACTATTGCCAAAAATCAGACTCCCGCCTCGTATAGGAATGAGTCACCATAGCATCAACTACATAATATGCCTTTGTTCTAAATTTACTATTGTGATCATTTTGTGATCTCCCTTAATCATTCTACCGAACAGTTGATATCTAGGGATAATAAGATGCTTTCTTAGTATTACCAATGCTTGAATAACAATAGCAATAGTATTACTATTGAATATTTATTTAAAATTATAACACTAATTTTTTAATGTTGATATTGTTTCATTATAACCATATATTTGTTAGGGTGAAATCATTTATGCCTAAAATTAATTGTCAAAAAAATATAATTAACTGCATTCTTTTGTACTTTTTCATTGAATTCAAACTTTTCATTGTAGTAGTTTAATATATTATCTGATGTGATGTTTTTCATGATGTTTTCCAGTCTTAAAAGCAAAAAGCACAACTAAGTTCTTCATAGCAACAAAAATACGGCACTTAAACACACTACATAATATAAACTGTAGTTTGCATCAGAATACTAACAACTACTTATTTTACCAGTCAATGTGTTTACCTCACTAAAGGACTTAGAAAATACTTCCATCTTTGTTCAAGATCAAATCAGCTTAAGAATCAAAACAAAATTGGATTTAAAAGTATTTTTCAAGGATTTATTATGAACAATCGTGATTTAACAGGATTGGTTAATCAATACTAGATTACTTACCAACTAAAATTATTGGAACGTGAGGGCAATAATGTTTCAGTTCTGGGTACCATTTACATAACACATTACTGTAGGAAACCTTATTGCCAACAGAAAAGCACAACAGAAAACAGTCAGTCTGCAACAAGAAATACTTATTAGAAATCAATTTAATATATTATAATTGATTAAAGTTTAATAAAATCTCATTGGTTTATATGATCACTAATTAACATTAACTTACATTTGGGTAAGTTAGAGGTCTTAATCTTTCAAAATCTTCTTGCCCCGCTGTGTCCCATAAGGTCATATTATACTCTTGCCCATCAACTGTGATTGTGTCTGCAAAGTTGTCGAACCTGTAGAAACAAATTATTTTTGATAAATCATAAAATTTATAGCTTTAATTTATAATGTCAGTGTAAATATTTTGACAAATCTTGGTGAAGTTTATAAATACCAACCACAATTTTATCGATAAATAAGTTTATTTCGCCATCATACTACAAATTAGTTGTAACACTTTATTTAACATTAAAATTTGAGACAGTAACTTTGAAAAAAAGATAAATATAATTGATGATGATATTTTATTATTTTTTTTTTTGTATTTGTAAAAATTCGAAATCTATATACAAAGTAGCTTACAGTAATGGTTTAAAATCGTTTGTTATTAAAACTTATATCACAGAAAAAAAATGGCATTAATACATTTCTAATGAAAGAAAGCTGATAAGTTAAACAAAAGATAACAAAGTAAGTTAACTTACACTGTTGGGACGTATTCAACTGGAAACCGTTGTGTTGTGTAGGTGATGAGTAGACATGTTTTTCCTACTAGACCATCTCCAACTGCAGTTATCTTCAAACGCCTTAAATTGCTGGTAGACCTGCTTTGGTCTTCACCAATTTTACTCTCCACCTAATCAATAAACACGAATAAAAATAAAGTAATGAATATATTTCTTTAAAAAATAGAGTAAAATAATAGATATATACATAAGATCAAGAATTTCTTTCCTCAGAAAACTACTTAACACTACAAAGATGTAACGCTTAACCAGAATTATCGGAGGATGATGCTGAGAGTCTAAACTTTAAATTAAAATTTTAAAAAAATCAAGTGGACATATCTGACTTTAAATTATTATAGGATACTAATTTAAATGGAAGAAAAACCATTATTATTATTTTTTTTTTTTAGTTACGAAGGAGTAAAAGAAGGATTGAAATGAGGTCACAAAAAGATAATGACACTGAATTTATTCTGTTTTATAATTTTTTTTATTTTTTTTTTATCATTTCTCATTAATCTATCTACTTAAGTTGTTATCTTTCAAAATTTGCTAAGTATTTTATAGTATATTTTGATAAATATAAGTAATGTAAGACAATGTTAGGAAATATTCATTGGATGAATGACACTCAGTGCATAAGTACAAATAATTACATAGTTCTTTTATAGTGTTACAAAATAAGAGGAAAAAAAACACATTAAATAAGTGAAAATGTAACTATTTATAATAACCAATGATATGTGTTTATTTCAGATGAAAAGTCAGTTATCAGGAGAAAGTCAATGAAATATGATTGGATTAAAGAAATTTTAACTAATAAAAGAATTATAAATTTGTAAAAGAGATGAACCTAAATGTTAAATTGATCATGCCCTATTTCAAGTCCACTCAATCTATTTATGTTTGAAACACGTTACCATCCAGAACTTTATTTCCGTTCAAGCATAATCTCCAATTAAATGAATTTTTTTAAAATTCAAAATGCGATAGCGTAGCTTAGTGAGTAAGGCACTGTGTTTCTATATGTCGGTTCTAATTTAAATGTGGCTGCAGACAGGACCCTATTAGGGCGCACCCAATATCTATAAAGCCCGTAACATTAATTGGGGAGCCATGGGAGTGTGATCTAAGCCAAATCACCTAGAAACAGTACTTTTTACCAAAGTACTACATCATCTAGACACTTCATGGGTTGCAATGGTAATTTTGTTTTTCAGTGTTTAGTTACAATGTTGTGATATCTACTTATTGCTCTAAAGTATATTTCATTATATTTTAATTTTTGACAAGTTTTTCTTAATTTATGATTATTTTAGATACTAATAATTTATTAAATTATAAAATTATGAAGAACTACTTGAAAAACAGACATGAGATAAAGAAGAATATAACAAATCATAACAGCCAGTGCTTCCTTTTATTCCTGATCAAGATTAAAATTTATAATGATTGAAAATTAACTGCGAATCTCAGTTATCTTAATCTCCCACTAAAGTTGCTTTGTAAACAATCAAAGTCAGATGTAATCATAATCAATGTAATACTTTAAAGTGCAGCTCATTGATATTTGATTTGAACTTAGAAATAATGAAATGTGTCAATTGAATAAATTTTTGTTTTAAACCTAAATCTCAATTAACAACTCTATGAGTGTATCAAACATAATGGCACTTGTAAGGTGAAAACTAGTCAGCTAGTGGGTCTTGTGTTTTCTTTTTGCTAACCCCTAAGGACTACACTGAGGAAGCTCATTGCAAGCAAGAGCGAGAGTACCAAGATTCATTTCTCTAGCCAGCTGAGAAATCAATATTAGATGATCCAGTTGGGCAATGAACCCACAATAATCAGACATTTTTGGATCCTTGCATCAATATGGTCGTTTCAAAGTTATGTTAAGTAAGCTATTAATTGATCTGTTTCTAGTTATTATCTGGTCATTCATAGTAGATCATGTTCCGAATTTTCTCCAGATATCAATTTCTTTACATTCAATTTTGTTGGCAAATACATCCAACTGACCTAACATAAGGGAAGATCTGCTCTAAAGAGGTCGTTCCTCCTACTAGGTGAGCTAAATATATATGACCCCAACTATTAGATGGTCGCATCATTATCCTATAAGATGCCAGACAGTGGCCGAGTGTGAGAACGAAGACACTGGATGGAAGAGGATGCCATTAAGACGAGTCATTTCCTCATTTTGTGAGAGATCTGGATGATAGAGGTGGCATTAAATACGTCCGGGAAGGCATAAGACCACGGAAGGGGTTTGTCCACTCCATTAGGTCGGCAGTACCAACTGCTTTGCCACTAACGGACCGGTGTCTTTGGTCGAAGAGCGGGCCTCGTCGCTAAGCAGTTAAGTGTACTCTTAAAGGTTACCTTAACCAACCAAAAGAAATAAAGTTATAATTTTGTTTCTATGAAGGATCGGAGGCAAATACTTAAACAATTATATATTCTCGTTTCATAACATAAGGTGTCACTAGCAGATCCAGGATTTAATTTTGGAGGGAGCTTCAGCCCGGAAGCTTTTTTTTTTCATATATATATATATATATATATATATATATATATATATAAAACTAATTACATATTACATATGTAATATGTACAGATAATTACATTGGAAAAACAGAAAGATACTAACTACCTATATGAAATGGCGTTTAAGTGATTCTTAAAGTCCTATTAAATTTAATTAAACGAGCAATAATACGTTAAGACATAATTTTTTAATATTTTTTACCATAGAACATGGTTACATGGTTACCATTTGGAGGGGGGAGGGAGCTTCAGCCCGAAAGCCCTCTCCCCCGTAAATCCGCCTGTGTAAGGTGTGGAATATACACTAAACATCGCTCAACTTTTTCTTCAATAGCTTCATATCATATCTTATTATATCAATTTAAAATAGTACATAGAATAAAGGAATACAGTTGAGGAAATGTTGCCTATTTATATAATGAGTTGAAAAACTATTTCAGCGGCAAAGCTAAACATATGGTACGATTTTTTTTTCTTCCTTTGACAATTATTATTGCTCCTGTAACTACCGTGATTTGAAAAAAAAAAATAAACTGAATTTCTGATGTTATAGATTCACTGCTTGGTGTAAAAAACGCAGTTTTGATTATTGAGCTTTGAGAAATTTTCAGGGGAATGCTACTTGTTTTTTTTTTTTTTTTTTTAGGTGTCTCTATCTTTATTAGGTTTTTCTGTCCCTACTGTCCTTAAGACGAATAAAAAAAAAAAAAATTAAATTCTAGATCAGTTACTGCTTTGAAGAATCCTGATCCCTAGAGTGTTTGGCGAAAGATCCTGAACTATATGAATGTATAGAATAAACTAAGGTACCTACATGTAAGAAATTTTAAAATAATAATTCACTATTTGTTTTATTAATTTTCTTGTTTAGAATCAATTCTTAATAATTATTCTAAAATGCTCTCTTACATAATGTGTTTAACGTATACTTAAATTTTGAAGATTCGGAAGTATGATCTGTAATTGTGGAATTATATATATTTTTTCATAAATTAAATGACAAATAATTACATCAATCTTGCAAGCATTAACCATAAAATCTTTCCAATTATTTTCTTTTCGACGGGGCATCAGGCATTCCATAGACAGGAAGTTTGTTTTTTTGTTTCCGAAACGAACTGCACATGAAACACACATTTAACAAACAAACAAACCGGCTACGGAAAAAAGGTAAAATTCCTATAAATACAACAACCGGAGGCAGAATCTCGAGTTGCTGAATACAGCGATTCTCAAGGAGCAGAAGATAAACAAACAACGCTGCGGGGCTCCACATAAAACATGAACATAATTTATGTCTTCCTCGGGCCACACAGGATGTTCATCGGGGGTTGCGGACTTGTGGATCCTTACAAGCTGTAGTTTATTTCATTGTTGGAATCGTTATGTGTTAAAATGGCTAGTTAGTTTCAACACAACGGTTCTTCAGATAAAGGCGGGTGTAATTTCCAATAAAAATAATTAACACCTTAATTATTTAACACTGTAATAAAAACATTAAAAGACTTTCAGAACCACTCCTAAGAATGTTGTTTCGTTGTCGAGAGATACAAGGGTGCGATTTCCACTGCTACTGTTAATTTTTAGTCTAGCTTTCAATTAGTCATGTGATAAATAACTTGAATTTTGAACAAAGCAGACAATCAAAATTTGTTGATAACCTGAGTTATTAATATCATTATCTTTTTTTTTAACATTTTATATTCAATTAATATTTTTGTGGTTTGTATGTTGTGATATCCTCAAAACCTTCTGCACACTTTGAAAAAGTTGGTAAAACAACTTAAAATCCTTCCAAGGTGTAGAGAAGGAGTGTTACCAAATGTTTCGCATTGCTTAAAAGGTTTGGGAGATCATATTATACGTAGCTCGTGAGGACCATTTTTTGGCTTGGTCGGAGGGAGCAAAGAGGGTTAGCAGCTACTCCCCTTTCCAAAAAAATAAAAATCGATAAATTTAGAAAACGAATTTCTGAAAAACTGATATTGATGGGTTGATTATTTGTATTTAAAAGGTTGAAACAGATTAGCGGTTCTGCAAAACTTCAATCTTTTCAGTCCAAAATCTTAAGACTGGTAACAGCAACTCTCTGGTACGTAAAAAATAAAACATTGCATAACGCCGTGAGTAAGCCAACAAATACGCACTCTTTACTCTCGATTTCATATTAAACTGCACGGACACAACTACGTGCCCATCAGAAGACGGCTTAAAAGGAATTGGATGAGTGATCTTTCTTGAATGAAGAAAGTAAACAAAAACTAGGAAGATGTGGTGCTGGGTACTATTCTTTCTTATGACTAAAACGCCATTTCCCAAACAATAACAACACATGTTTTTCTAGTCACATCCATGACATGTACGGATGAAGATTTGAAGAGAAAAAAAAAGATCCTAGAAATACATGATTAAAAATAACCTATGATAATAAATTAAATTTAAAAAATTGCCCAAACCCTTTTTGTGTATAATGTTTTGAGCTGGCAAGGCTCTTGTATTATATATAATGGCGGATCCAGAGGTAGTTTTGGGAAGGAAGGAAATTAAATTTTAGATTTTTTAGGAAAGAATTTAAATTTTTTACCTTATTTATGGAGAAGATTGTAATAAATTGATTATACAACTATTTCATATTTCGAAATATATGAAATCGAATGTCGTAGGTATAGGCAATTAATTCCATTGATATATCTAACGCGATCGATTTCTGACAATGTGAGTCGTTTTTAAAATTTTTCTCTATATAATGAATGATAATTTAACCGAGACCTTTAGTACTAATAGGTATATTTTAAAGTGTGGTATTTTTTTTTACTCAATGTTTAGTCTGCGAGATAATAACCTTCGTAGCGTGAACCGTTACAGTACATTTATAAATAATAACTTATAGCACAATTTGGCCTTAAGGTGAGCACACCGTGCTCCTTTACTCCAGGTTCGAGTCCGGCCTTATGTCGTTCTAGGTGCGATTCTCATTTGGGTCAGTTAATAATTATTCTGTAGCGGTTCAGCCAAATAGGTCTTGATTACGTAATTGTAATAAATACTTTTTAATAGATTATTCGGTTTAACTAAAATAACCATTTCAGTTTTATTCAAGGTTTGGGAAAAGGGGCTTGAATAGGGGTGCTCAGAAGGGGGTTTCAGGGCGCAACTTGCTCCATCGAAGTTTTTTAGGAAGGCATATTTTGATGGGTTTGTGAATTTTTGAGGAGGGAACATTTGTACGGGGTTATGAATTTTCGGACTAAGGGAAAAGGAGGAAAAATAGAATAGATAATTAATAGATAAGGAAAAAATAATTCACATAGTTCACAGTATAATCACAGCAAGTATAATTGTATATGATCTACGATTTTTGTAATTCTACATTAGCTTCCTCTGTTTTTAAGAAAAGGTGGGCAATAAAATATCTTGGGAGGAGGGGGTTAGGTAGGTTCTTGCGCCTTAGGGTGAGGGATGGGCACTCCCGGACACAGGCGAATTTACGGAGGGGAGGGGTGCTTTCGGGCTGAAGCTCCCTCCCTCCCTCCCCCCCTCAAAATGGTAAAATGTGACCATTTTTTATAGAAAAAATTATTAAAAACTATCTCTTTAAGTATTATTGTTCGTTCAATTACATTTAATAGGACTTCAAGAATCACTTAAACACCACGTCATATAGGTAGTTAGTTTATTTCTTTTTTTTCAAAATTATTATCGTTATACATATATATATATATATATATATATATATATATATATATATATATATATATATATATAAAGCTTTCGGGCTGAAGCTCCCCCAAAATTAAATCTTGGATCCGCTAGTGCTCCTGGGCCGGACAGTTTCTCCTAAACACGGTTACGATCCAGAAAAAGCACATTAGTTTTAAGCAGAAATGTTTGCTTAAAAGCTCGACCCACTGGACCACTTCGCTGGTTCATAATGGTAATTTTGTATTTAAAAATGGTACTTTTTTCAACTAAAAAAAAACAAAACAGGAAAGCAGTGCTATGGATTAAAGTTATTATTTTTACTTGCTATCAATTCCTAGTTCAACGAGTCGTATCGTCAAACTAGATATAAGAATATCTAACTCCGGTTGATAATTTCTCGAATCACGGGAAGCCGCTATAATCAATCTTCGTATTGACATACACAACACTATTATGAACATGCGTTGGTAAAATCCAGAGATCCTGAGCTTGGAAGCCGAGGTGAACGTCGGAGAAGAACAAAGACGGTCGTACTCATTAAGAAGACAAGGGCGAGGGGTGACCCCAATTGAACTGATAAAAGCAAGAGCGCCGATGAGGGCTGACAGGCACCATGGTGTTACTTTTGTTCGTTTCTAATATCTAAAGTTAGCGGAGGTTTAGGTCTTGTGCTATCGCATCTTGCAATTATGAAAATAATGAAAACATTGTATTCTTTTGGTGTCTATATGAGTACCTCGGAGTTACATGACACATGGTCCAATTTAAAAATTATAGTTTTATGAAAAAAAAATTGTCGACAGCCGCAAAAATTGTGATGACTAGAGGATCGCTCCACGGAATTACAAAAAAAAATATTACGAACTTAGGGCCTTATATACTAAACGAAATGGTCCGAACCCGAACTCCATAAAAAAATTAGAACCAAAGATATAAAACAAAAATGATTGAGGATTTTTTCTTAATATCTAGCTTAAAAAGGAATGGAATCTGAATTTTTTTATATGGCTTGGAAGAGCAGTAATTCAGCCTTCAAACGGTTGTAAAAACATTGAATTTGGAGGAAATCCTGGGAACTTATGAGTGCTGTAGCTATCGGCTGACAAAAAAGAAGAAAATCGAGTAATGAAATTATAATTTTTTCATTTCTATACAAATTCGTATTTAAGAGTTTTAAAGGACACTGAAAACGAATCTAATTTGCTTCTTCATAACTAAAATTTACTTGGTCTTATAATTGACATTATAAATAATTTAATTCTATAGTCAATATTTTTCTCTTATTCCTAAAAAAAAAATAACAAAAAAAAAATCGGTTGACATATTATAAATCAGAATCAAGTAAATTATTTAACATCAATTATAACTAATCTAAATGCAGTTAAACAGAAGATAACAATGGTTCCATGGTTTGCGACTCTTAAATCTCATATCGACCGCTGCAGCTTGAAAATATTATTTTCAATTATTGTTATTTGCTGACTGTAGCCTTCTTCAACAAGCTATCAATAATCGGACGATCTTTTAATAACAAATTTTAAATTTTTAAATTTTGAAACAATTATTTTTCATGTGAATTAAAAATGTAATCATTAGTAGCTTAGGTATGTCAACAATTAACAAAAATAGTAACATTTTGTTATAAAATAACCTAAACACCAATTTCGTTTAACCTCTAAATAAATACCAATTTCTGAAATGACAACAATATAACAGTTGCCAGACATCTAATTCATCCACCACACTCAATAACATAATATTAAAATATAGAAAATGAAATTAAAACCAGAGAGAAAGAAAGAGTGAGAGAAAGACAGACAACTAATTGATTAACAAATTATAAGTCTATAGTTTAATTTAAAACGATGATGTAACTTTTTCACATGAATTAAAGCAGCCTAATTAGAGTTAAAGAGGAAAACCATTTCCTGAAAATTTCATATAGCAATGATGCTAATACAGAAGGCTCCGGCCAGGCAAGCTACTGCCACCGGAAATATCCGTTAGACAATACCCCACGCGTTTCCGTTTTATTCCATCCTTCCCATCTGTGCTATCATTTGTTTCATCATTCATATGGGTCCGGGTGTAGGCATATATATATATATATCCACACGTATGTATATATTCAACTATTCGATTGAAAGTATTTAGTCAGAAAATCAATCTAACATGGTAAAAATAAATATACATTAATATTCTACAAACATTCCTAAATAATCACCTAATATAATGAATCCTACTCCTCCATGTTGAATTATAAAAACTTATTAATATCCTCATCTATCTATATCTCCAAAAAAAAAAAAAAAATTATCATTGATATCATAGATAATTAAAATTATCTAAACAGTGATAGTTTTAGTGAAAATATACTGTGGGGTGGCCGAGCAGGCTAAATGTTACACGAAGATTATGAGTTCAACCCGGTGCCGAAGGATCTTTTAACATAGGTATAATTCCCCGCCCTCTTTCCTGGCTCGGAAAAAAACTCGTATAGCATTAATAGGTGAGGACGAGGGTGAAAAAGTATTAGTAAAAAATTCTCTGACAAAAATATTCATGTCATATACAATTTTGAAAAATGTGATACCATTTAATTCACAAATATTATCATTTCTTATTTATGTTATTTTTCTTCACATTTTGCCATCTTATTGTTTATTACCCCTTAGTATTATTAATTATCACAGTGTACAGACTCTCTGAGACTCTTTATCTGTTAGGCAGAGATGAAGATCAGGGTTTTCACTTTCGTAAAAAAGTTCCCCTTTTAGAGAAATTTTAAGATTGGAGGGAAAAAAAGGAAAACGATTTTCCTGAATCAATGTCTAATCTGAGCACAGTTTAATTTTTTTTAAAAATAATATAAGTAAAACAGACATAAAATGATTAGTTACATGTGAGCTGCTTAATATGAAATACGGACATCTGTTC